GGATCTTAGATCTGAACTCCCGCGGGAGACTGAGAGTGTGATAGAGTAGGTTGCGGTAGCGATCCTACTCACTCCACGATCCAAAAACGGAACGCGTGGAAGATTCGTCTAGCATTTATCTAGTACGTGGAATCTCTCCACGCCAGCTAAATATCTAGCGCGATGTTTCATCATCGACCTAGTATGACTAGCGGTCATGAGAACCCTGTCTCAATGACTATTCACGAAAGACTCAGTCATGAGTCGAACTCAAACCCATCTAGGATCGAGTCGCGAATAAGGCTAAGAGCCGTGTATTGCATTCGCCCCCTGACAAGGGTCACGGAAGGCACAACATCAGTCGGACAGGAGAACATATGAATTAAAGTGCGGGGCACTTTCCGAGATTGGATGTAGACATGTGCGTCCACGATGGCATCCTACAAGGGGATCAGGCCTTGTATGGGTGAAAATACCTTATGTTCCAAGTCTGGTAGACTGTGCCGCTATGGCGGTAGTAGTTCGGAGCCGTACAGTGCCATTGTTATGACTCGGTCTGTGTGGTAGGACCTTTGGCGTTTGGTGACCGTAACGGTTCTGATACTGATGAACATCATAGTATCGTTGACATGGTGTTGATGAGGGACACGTGCCGTGTTCTCCTTATCGGTTTTTCTGGATAAGTCGTGGCGACGTTCCTTGAGTATTTCCGGTTTGCTTTGAAACGGATGTTTGATTGTGGATCTCTCTCGTTGATTAGTTTTCATAGCTTTCTAATCTCTCTCATAACTTTCATTCTCTCAAACTCAAAACACTCGAAAGATCTTTACACTAGCTTTTAGCGTAGTGCATTCACACGCAAAATACAGGAACTGCCTGATGGAATTTTAATCATGCGGTGAAGAATCGGCTGAAGCTGTTGTCCCAGCCCAGCCTGAAGCTGTTGTCCCAGCCTGAAGCTGTGGTCCCAGCCAGCCTGAAGCTGTTGTCCCAGCCTGAAGCTGTTGTCCCAGCCTGAAGCTGTTGTCCCAGCCTGAAGCTGTTGTCCCAGCTTGAAGCTGTGGTCCTAGCCAGCCTGAAGCTGTGGTCCCAGCCTGAAGTTGTTGTCCCAGCCTGAAGTTGTTGTCCCAGCCTGAAGCTGAGGTCCCAGCCTGAAGCTTTTGCAGACGATTTCGTTCACGATTTTTGTACCCTCGATCCGTCGTCCTGCCGCTGTTTTCAGCCTACCGGTCAAACAAGAGGAGCTTGTCATGGTGGAGCCTTCTTCAAAAGGAGTACTAGTAATAACATCTTGATAGAGTGGCAATAAATCTAATTCCGCAGCCACTGCTTGTACCGTATTAGTCCAGCCGTACGGACCAGTACAATCGTTTATGTGCAACGTTAAGGTTGGCCGGTCTGTATTTTGCTGGTCTGACCAGCTGTTAGAAATACAGACTGGCCGGTTTGTTCAGTTTCCAAACCAGCTTGAACAGACACAGCTGCACCTCTATCATCTTCAAGAGGAGGGCTTATACATTTCTAAGCGAGGCTTCTCCTCTGTAATCCTCTGTATTCCTAAGAAATCCTTGAATTAATCTAGAATGTCTTACTATCTTTACTGAAACTTTGTGTTAAATCATCTAGTCCTCTTGGTACACTTCAAACCATAACCAACAGTTATGGTTTAAAGTAGGCAGCAGTATTTCCCTTTACCCAATCCCTAATAAATACTAGTGCATGCTTTAACCCACTGAAATGGCTTCAAGAAGGCCTCTTAATTGCAGAATCAGCTTTTGTACTCTTTGACACTATTCAAAAGAGCCAAAGTAAATTGCACGAGCCACCCCCAGACCCCCTTCTATGTTTAAATCGTGAGGTGACCTCACGAATTAAACGTCCAACGAACGGCTGGAGGATCTCCAAGGTACCGTACTGCGGCACGGTACTGGTTCATAATGCTCCTCTACCGGTACCAGTATATGTTGCTGCTCAGCTTGCTGTTTTGCCAGTACGGTACGGTAGGGTACATGTAGTCTACGTGCCATGCATCCTCATCTGGTCTCTATCTACACTACTATTATGAAGTTTCTATGATGCGCTCGTTGATAGCTGACGCGTTCCAAAGGCAGGCCATCTGGAGCCCAAAGATTGAATGCATTAAAAAATACAACATGCGGTATGAGACGCAGACTCGACTCACTGACCGCAGTGCAGCCAAGCAGAGGCAAATTTCTAGTACAGTAAAGCAAGTTGTTCGCAAAGCCGGTCGCAATTCGTTGGAAGGAACAAGGGACGAGTAAAAGAGCGAGGGCACCATGTTACCGTAGGGAAGAACCTAAGGATCTACTGGATGATTGGATTCCCAGTGCCATTTCCCGTAAGAGCAAATGGGTACGAGTACCCGCTCCAAGATCGATCCCAGGAAACATCGTGCCCGTAGTGCCACCGGTACCGCACCATTACCTCTCCTCTATCTGCTAGCTAGCTAGTAGCCAGAGAGCAATTACGACTTTATCAGCGGCACCCGTTCAACCATGGATAGACACGTATCATGATCAAACCCAAAAGCACGGCCAGGACTGGCTTTACTGGTCACTGGCTACCTGCCTAGTAGCTACCGTACTAGCTAGCTAGTGTGTGACAGTCATTTAAAAACTGGTTTTTGGGTGCAAGCGAAGAATTAAGCACCAAGATACTTCCAAGAGCATCCAAGGACCCTCCAAGATCCAAGAGCTGATGAGGCGATTCGATTCAATTCAGAACATTGTCATGAAATACCAAACTCTGTGAAGCAAGCACAAAACTAACAACAACACAAAAAGCTCTTTCAAAAAGCCAAGGAACAAGGAATACCTATACTACACAATATGATGATGATGGATAGCAGCTCTAGACGTCGTTCAGGAATGGACAAGTCCGTGAGGGAGGAGCTCGATGAAGCAAAGGCCGAGTTCGACAAGTTGAAGAGTCAACTGGATGACGTACAAAAGGATTACACAGAGAAGTCCGATGAGCGCATTGATGCAATGAGTGCCTTGTTTCAAATCCTTGACATCATTGGGAAGAGTGAATGGCGCAAGCAACAGAAAGCAGACAAACTGGCTGATGATGCATGGAAGCTTTCCGAGGAATGTCAAGCAAGAGCCAAAACTCAACTGGACAAACTGGAGGCAGCCACTCATCGTGAGATGATGGCCAGCAAAGCAGAGAATGAAGAAGCAATGAACGACATGAGCGCTTCTTGTCAATGGGAAGACACCACAAACCAGTATCTCCGTCAAATCAAACAATTGAAGCGTGATATCAACAACCGTCAGAACTACTTGGATTTTGAATCCAAAACCAAAGAGGACGTTGTGAAAGCCACGAAGAAGGTCATTGCGATGTTGAACAAAGAGTGTGATGACAAGGATCTCATCAAGAAAGTGAAGAAAACAGCTGGGTTCAGCTGAGCAGCTAGTACCACCAACAATCAACAATTCGCTAGCTTAATGGAGAGGGATAATTTGAAATTGTTCCTGGTTCATTTGTCAGCAAAGATGGATGTTGCATGTGGTTGCATGAAAGTGCAACTGTTGTCCTGGATGGATCCTGGGTGCTGTGAGCCTTTGAAATCAGTTGCGCATGCCAGAAAACCTCTTTCAGTTTGGTTTCCTTTAGAAGTTTGATTTTCTTGCACGGCTGAGATTTTAAAAATGTATTATTAATAGTATTAGTAGCATTACAACCCACGGAGTGCTGATTTTGCTTCTAGAACGACGTTTGAAGAACGAAGAACCCAGCAATTCCTGGATGAGACTGCCGCCGCACCTGCCTTACTACCTCCCTCTATGGTAGCAAGCAGAAATCCTGCGAGGGTGAGTGGATAGCGGATGTATTGTTATGATAATGAGATTTGCGCATGGCCAGCTCACTCAACCTTTTTCCAAGGATGCCTCCTTTACTGCTGCTTTTCGAACTTTCTCGACAGTCAACAGCTACTACAACAGGGTGCACTTTTTAAAAACATTTGTATTCTTAGAAGTGCTTGAACCTCCCGGCCCATTTCCCGCCCAACGCAGAAACTAAAGGTACTGTTTGATACGGTAAAGGTATCTGCCCCCCTTGAAACTGGGAATACAACCGTGTACATGGAGTACCAGGCTCTACGTGTTACCCTGTCTTTCCTTATGTTTGTGGGTGTTTCTACCTTTCTCGACCTTCCAACCTGCTCGCTCACTGGAACATCGATACTGGTATAAACGAAGGACGGAATCCTGCATACAAGCTGGAACGGAATCTTTAAGTCAACGGAATCTCGATTTCGCTCCAAGAAGAAGAAGAAGTCAATCCAAGCAAAAGATCGCAAGTCGCTCGAAACTCGCAAAGTCCTGGGAACGAAGTCCACGAACGGCAAAGACAAACTCGCTCAGATCATAAACAAGATAACAAAAACACAACAAGAAAACCAGTAACCACAAAAAATTCTTAAAACTAAAATGAAACATATAAAATTTGTTTTTGCTATGCCTACAGCAGGATCGCGCTGTAGGCTGGGTGCCACCACCAAGGCAGTTCGCTCAACGCAAGCGTGGGTGGATGCCGGTGGGCTGATTCTTCTTGTCGTGCTTGAACTTGTTGATGATCTGGGTGACCGTAAGCCACCCGTAGGTGCATAGATGCGGTCGACCGCAGCCCTCCAATCAAAGCCCTTGGCCATCAACCGAATAACACAGTCCCACACATGCTTGCGGCGGCAGAACTTGTCCTTGACGCGGCCGCGCTCACGAGCAGTAAACTCGCATGCGGCCTTGTTGCCATTCAGGCCCTTGATCCACTCGTCCACAGCTCGTAGAGGTTGAAAGGCTTCTTCGAAAGCTGGGCTGGCAGGGTAGCGGGTGTAGGGGCCCTTGCGGCAGGAGGACGGGCCAAACGCCCAGGACTCGGTGGTGGTGGTGGGGGAAGTCCTCCGCCCGCTGCAGCAGCACCACCGCCGCCGGCTCCACCACCAACGCCCGCTGCAGCAGCACCACCACCAACGCCAGCCGCACCAGGAAGCGGAAGCCTTGGAGCACCGCCACCCCTCGCGATCAACTGAAGTGGTTGATCCTCCCAATGTTCTTGTTCACGATGGCCATGTTGGTCGAAACATAGCCCCTCAAGGAGCTGATGTCCTGTGCAAGAATCTGCTGGGCCTCCTCGATTGCCTGCTGAGTCTGTGTTGAAGAGCAAGCAATTGGTTGAGCTGTTCCATGTTACACCACCAGGAGCACCTCCAACCAAGGGCTCAGCACCAGCTTGGACCTGGGCGGTGGGAGCCAACTCAGTAATGTGCAATGCATTGGCTACCTTGTAGATTGTCAGAGGGATCTTGGCGACTGGGTTGTAGTCGGCCCCAGGATCCTCATCCAAAGTGGTCCGAAGCTGGGCATACTCGGTCTGGATGCGGTTGCGAATGTCTGCCGGCATCATATGCTCCAAGCCAGGTTCCATCGCAGCCCAAAGCAAGCTGGACCAAGCACCATCGGTAGGTTGTTGGATGGGTCGTCGGCAAAGAAGTCACAAAGGGAAGGACAGACATGCTCGCCAATGAACCCATGATCAACACCGCTGTCAATCTTGATCGAGTACTTGACGGGGCCTCCAACAGCAAGAGTTCCCGCAACCTTGGCGTCGGTCGGCAATTGTTCCAGTCCAATGTAGACATGGACAATATGGCCATTCTTCTCGCCCTTCCAGCGACCACGAGCCTCATTCTCGGCTTGGGTGATGCCACACTCGCTGCATAGGTTGGAGGCAGCTTTCGAAGACTGTGGGTACCAAGGCTACCCTGCACTTGCTTGGCCAGCTACACGAACTCAGGGTCTTTCCAAGCCTTCTTCAAGACGCGTTGGTACCAGGCGTGACTCGATCTGGCTCCGTCTCAATGTTGGTCTCGTCGAGCTCTTCGTCGTTGTCCAGAGCCTCAATGGCGGCAAGGAACGCTTCTTCATCGTCGACACGGTAATGGCCAAACAGAAACTTGGAATCACCGTGTCCCCTCTCAAGCCGAGTCTCGATCCAAATAGCCAAGGCAATCAGGACGCAAAAGTCAGGGTCAGCGGCACCCAGCAAAATTTGGTCAGGACAATCGCGCTCCTCCTGGACGTTCTTGCTCCAGGATACCTGGTTTGGAGAGCGATGTTTGGAAACTTGGCGTGGCTTCGGAAGTCCAATGTCTCCATGTTCGTCAGATCATCAGTTCGACCAATCATGTGGAACTGAACCTTCATCATGTTGGAGTCTTGATCGTGAGGTCAATGTTGGCACCTCCATCACGCTCCAGGATCCGAATGGTCTTGCGGAATTCTCGAAGCTTGAGATCTCGCTTGACATTGGATTTCCTTCCTGCTTCCTGACCTCCGCCTTCTTCACAGCTTTGATCACTTCATTGACGTTCGTGGAGCGAGTTGGATTCCCAACATTCGGACCAACCGCCCATGGTGCATGCCTGTTGGATGGAAGTGGCTGATGGCCTTCTTGTACTGTTCAAGAGTGGAAGATCTCTTTTGGGTGGGACGATCATTGGGACCAGGGTTGGTCTTCCCATAGCAAGGAAGTTCATGAACCGGGCGACATCAGTGGTGTAATGGCAAGGAGCTGGTCCTAGAAAAATGAAGAAAGCAACCATGGTGTGAGTGAGCGGCAGAATCGTGGAGCGACCGAAATGACAGATTTGGCGAAGGAGGGAAGCAGGAAGCAACGTACCTGTGTAAAGTCCTCTTGCTATCTATGTGCTGCCGGCCTGCTTCCAACCATAAACCTGGCAAGGCTGGCCGGTACTGCTGATCAAGTGACTTGCGCTTCCTCGCCATTGTAGGTTGTAACAAAAGAGCGAGTAACAAAAGAGCGAGTTAACAAAAGAGCGACTTGCTTCGGTAACAAAATAGCAAGAGCTTTCGCTTATCAAGTAGCGATCTCCAAATTTATGAAGAATGATATCGATCGGAGGTACTCCTTCCAGCCTCCAATCCAACGGCCAAGTCGGCATGTAAATCTGTGTACTACGGGATACGGCAGTTGGATCGAGCGGATCTTGGGAGGTTTACCCTCACTTTGTGCTATGACAGAGGTTCCGGATCGTTAAGTCTTTGAGTTTCGCGGAACGATGAGTTCGATTTTGTGTGACTGGGTTGTATTTTATGCACGATTGCCAAAAAGATACTTAGGCAAAAAGTTGTATTTTGGGTTGCCGATGCAACTACCAATGCGATTTTCAGTAGCATTGGATACCCTCAAATGACTGGTTTTCCCCGGCGAAATACCCTCAAAAGTCTTATTGTATTACCATACCCCAATAAAGGATACCCATACTTAAAAGCCTAAGTGGGGGCGAACTCACTACTATCACTACGAGGTAAGTCCCACCAGTCGATACAACTCCCCTAAGACTGATACCCTCTATCATGTGACTACAGTTGTATATTGGTAATACGGTACATGTAACTTGATTGCAAATTTGCAAATGAACGTGACTACGACTGCTGCCTCCGCCGTCTTCCTCTATTTCTTCCAAACGCCGCTCGCATACCATTCAAGCCGCTAATGGCCAAGACCCGAGGCTTTCTACATGAACTTGGTTACCGGTATGCCATACTGGCTAGTGCTTGATGTGCCGTCGTCCCTTTTAAGTCCGAAAACAGCCAGCAGAGCGACCAAACATGCTTCGTTAACATGCGACACTGACTCGACTCGACTCGACTCGGCCGAGACTCGACACTGACTCGAATGACTCGTGAAGAGGTAAGCCGGATCTGGGTGGGCAGTCAGCAACTCACGCATTCTTCCGCATCACATAGATAGTACAGAGGGTGCTAATTTTTGCTTGGATACAATGTGTGGGAGATTCTAAGTTGAAAGCAAATCAATTCGTACCAAAAGGCAATAGCTACGCAATTCATCCTTTCTATGGGCGAAACAGGCACCGGTAGTTCTTTCCTCAGTGTCCCAGTACTAGTACTGGTATCATCCGGAGTGCCAGTACTACAAGTATCAGGTTGTGCTGGAGGCAAGGAGACCACAGCTAAGCAAATACCTGGTACCAGTGCAAATGACAAATAAATGCACACAAGAAACAAAATCCCTGAGGAACTATTACCATGTAACGTTTGGGGTCCACGAGAGAAAGACCGTCCAGGACAAGCTAGTACTAGTAGCTAGCTCAATAGAATACCGACACCAAAAGAGGAAAGCAGATGAAGGCCGGGTGGGCCATGCGTGGTACCAGTAGAACGAAGAAGTGGCCAACCCGTTTTGTAGGAGCTTTTAGCACAAGGTGGGGTGCACTGCTTAGCTCCAACAAGCAACCACAAGCTCGTGCTGGAGTTGCCGGCAGAGCCAACCAGAGGAAAGATACCGGTACTTGCGGGATCATCGTGCGTGAAACTCACATCACCGTTCACTGGTTCATTTAGGGATCGCGGATCCCGACGGGAATTAAGAGCAAGACACCGCCAAGATTTCTTCGAGCGATCCAGTGGACCATCATTTTTTCCATTCTTTATTCTTTTCTGTCAGCAACTCAACTCACACAAAAACCGAGTCTCCTCATTGGGAAGGAAGAACCCTCTACACGTACTTGACTACTCTACTATTAATAGCGAGCAAACCCAAAAGATGATGATGGATGAAAGTTCCGGTCGCCGTGGAATGGACAGATCGTTGAGGGAGGAATACGATGATGAAGTGGAAAAGAACAAATTGCTGAGGAACCAACGTGATGAGGCACAGAAAGTGTACTTGGATATGGCAGACCAGCGCCTTGAGGCTCAAACAGCCATGTTTCAAATCCTTGACATCATTGGCAAGAGTGAATGGCGCAAAAAGCAGTCATCAGACAAGCTGACTGATGATGCCTGGAAGCTCTCTGAGGACTGCCAAGCAAGGGCCAGAGCCCAAATGGACAAACTGGAGATGGCCACAGATCGGGATATGAGGATCACCAAAGAAGAGAATGATGTGGCCATGAATGACATGAGTGCTTCCTCACAGTTGGAAGATACTACGAACCAGTTTAATCGCCAGAACAAACAGTTCGTTAGAGATATCAAGAATCGCCAGGCCTACTTGGCTGGTGAAACCAAAACCAAAGAAGATTTTGTCAAAGCCACCAAGCTGGTTGTTGCCATGTTGAAAAAAGAGTGCAACGACAAGGATTTGATTGCCAAAGTTGAGAAGACTGCAGCGCTCAGCTAAGTTGCGACGACAATTGACTTCCCTGCGTTGGAGAGGGGGCAGTTTGAAATTGCTCCCTGGGTCCACGCTTTTAGATTTTCCCAAGATTCGTGTTGCAAAGACAAGGATCACCCGGTCAAGTTTCCTGTTTCCTGGATACTGAATTGTTCTTTTTAAAAGGAAAGCTCCTTGTATTTGGTGTCAAAACCACTTCGTTAGACTAAAATGGAGCTATTATTAGCGCAATGCACATTACACAGTGATCATGTAGCCTTCAAAGTATCATATCTCCTTCCCAGTAGCTATTAGCAATATGATGGGTTGAAACTAGCTGGCCAGAGGTTCTTCAGCCCACAACTCTGTGGGTCCTTTGTTGCAACAATACAAGATATCCAATATCTCTGTTGCTGGCTGTAACTCCACCACCTCCGATAGAGAGACCGGGAATTTCAAAAACAATGACACCAGAATCGTTATCGTCCTGATCAACAAGCTCTCTATCAGTCAGACCTGTGATGGATATAAACAAGGGAGCTGTAACTCCAGCTGCAGTCATTGTGATACTGAGCTTAACTCGGATTTCAGTTGCCATGGCTTCGTTGGTAGAGTGGTAGAGAGATCGTGTATCGAACTTGTGGATATTGTACTTGTTCATTCCTTCCACCAGCCATTCAGTTGTATCATCTGAGGAAAGGATGAATGCTTTCTTCACTGGTAGTAAGGGTGCTCCATCGTGCAAATCGCTAATAGTATTGTAAATTTTCTTCTCCGAAGCAGTAGCTTTCTCGTTGAGGTATGTCCTAACCTCTGGAATCTCTTTCTCTGTTATCATATAGTGAGTGGAGCTAACAACACCAGCGAAATCCAGGGCTGAGCGTATGGAGTTTTCAGCAGTTTTTCTGGTTGGTTTTTTATGGACAACTTTGGAAGAAGTACAGCTGTTGCCAGAGAGCATAGCCAAGGCTCCACCATAATTTCTCACAGTGTCTTTGCTCGGAGTGCAAACTTCTTCCAGAAGAACATGCAAGCCTTTGTCCTCAAGACGTTTCTTTCTGGTTTTGGCGATTGAAGTTTCAATCTGCCCGTATCCTAAAGAACTGCCTTGGTTGGTACACAGCCCAGAGGCAATGGTGCCGACCTCATCAATATCCAAATAGGGCTTGCCACCTTTTGCTGCAAACCATGGACCTCGCATCGGGGTGGGTATCCAAGGTCTCACCAGAGGTAATGTGTTTTTCAAGTTGCCGCAGCACTTTCCAAACTGCTTGTTGCCCAACTGGAATCCACTTTCTTTCAATAGCCTCATTCATTATGGCAGCTCTTTTCCCTGAACTCTTGGGGTAAGCTGTAATGATTCGAAGAAACTCACAACGAGTGTACTCCATTTCATCCGCAGGCAGAGGACAAAGTGTTTTATTGGATGGTGTGGAGGGTGGACAGACTTTGGAGGAGACTTTCTAGCAACTTTGTTTGGTGTTTGCTTTGGAGAGGAAGAAAGTTCATGTAGCGGAAGCCGTGCAGTTGTGGAAGATGCACCTCGTAACTGAAGCCGGGTAGCCTTCAGGTTGCGATTCTTCTCTGCAGTTTGAAGTCTAGCAAAACCATAGCTGATACCTGTAACGGGAGCCATGGATTTGGCATCCTTACTCAAAGTGGAAGAACACTGCCCCAAGAAAGACTGAACCTCCTTCAAATCCCATGCAATCTTCTTTCGTTTTGTTTTGTTCAGATTATCCTTGCAATCAAGCAGTTGTACCGGTAGTCCTTCGTTCAGTTTGTTCTGGGCTTCTAGATGCCAAACAACTTGGCTGGCATAAAGCTTGCTTCCTGAAGTGTGTGAGGGAAAAGGAAAAGGAAGCATTGCTGCCTGGCGTCGCCCACCGTGACTTGAAAGATATTATTTTGTCATTCGTTGTGTTACCGAGAGAACCCTCTCTATCGCAGTACATGTATGCATACCGGTACGGTACGAGTATGATAGGACAGCTGTATGTCAACATCACCATACTAGCTAGCTAGCTACCAGTACTTACTAGTAGCTTGAAACAAAATCTTGCAGGATGAATGGCGACAACCACAAGAAACCCAAGCCCAACTCTTCCTGTCCATGTGGTTCTGGAAAGAAGTACAAGAAATGTTGTTTCCAATACACTTCGGCGGCGAAGTCTGCCAGTACTGGAGAAGGTGTGGAATTGAAGGAGCTCTGGAGTTACAGCAACACGAAGGAAGCTGAAGAACAAATGGAAATGTTCCAGCGATTGGACAGTACTTCGCCCGAAGAGAAAACGAGACTTGCCAAGATGGGTGGTGACCCACAAGCGGTCGAATTGAACCAACGAATGCAAGACCGACGAGAGATGCTAAAGTTTTATATCCCTCTCATGTGCCATGTGCAAGATGTTTCCAAAGAGGAGTGGGAGGCAGCCTATGACAGGGAGAACGATGACTACTTGTTGATTCTATTCCAAATGGTCATCCAAAATGTGCCGGCACTGGCCACGGCTGAAAACATTTCGCAAGCCAAGGTCGAAGAGATGCTGCAGCAAGGCAACTTTCTCATTGACACGAACAATTTGCTCAAGACTGCACCCTTGGGATGGATGAAACATGAGGAGTATTTTGCCATAGAGAAAGCACTTGGATCCTTCCTGTTCCGCCGAAAATGCACTGGATTTGGCCAGCGGTACTGGTGTCTTTTCATTCGAATACATGTACCGGTCGATTCATTCGAGCAATACTGCTACCAGAGTGCTCAACTGGTTCCCTAGCGAATGGCGAAATCCTGGAGAAGAAAATGTCAGGAGCCCGCTGGCCGCTCTGAGGTTAGCCCTCGCTTCCAAGACTCTTTCGAAGAGCAAGTTGCAATGTTGGAAGATGATGAATACACAAGGCTTTCGATCTAAAAGAGCCAGCGGCATTCTGAAAACACATGAGAGAATTTTGGACGATCCACGGAGCGGGAATGAGTACCTGAGTGGGAAAGGATTTCTGGCTGCTGGAGCCCACCAGCTTCCTTTGTACGCCAATCACCAAGTCAAGCTACTAGTGGGCCTTTCGTCCGACAAATTCAACAACAAGCGTGGCACAATCACCGACAAAGACCCAAATGCACCAGGACGGATGGGAGTCTCACTGGATGGCAACAACAAACCAATGAGTCTGAAGGCTACGAATTTGCTTAGCATGGAAGTGAAATCAATTGCCGAGATTCTGGTGTATCGTTCTCTGGAAATCGACCTTGAAGACACAGGTACATGGTTTGCCACTCCACCCGCATTGACCCTACACCGTAAATGTGCCGTGGTCACATGTACTTCATTGATGACTCAAGTTGGATACAGAGCACCTCTCCTGTGGCAACGAGCCATGAAAGTAGCTTCCCTCATGCTCGCCCCAGGAGGGATATTCTTGTAGCATGATGGCGTCAAGTACGGAGAATTTGGACGCAATGAGACGATGAAAGAGCACGCGAAGCAGGAAGGTCTAGGACTGGAACTTATTGACAGCAGCGAGCCAATAGTCAATGCACCCGGCATTGAACAGAATGTCGGAAAAATGCTTCTCCTCGTTTGGAAGAAGACAGGTTGAGTTGAGCACTATAATACATGTACCATTATAATGCGCTGAAACTAGCTGGCCAAAGGTTCTTCAGCCCACGGAATAAAATTTTTTCTTTGGGTCCTTTATTGTAACAAGCAATACTGGTTCGGGTTCAGAGTTGTTCTGCATGGGTGCCAGCCATGTTGTTTTCTCCTGGCTTGCTAGTAGCTAGATATTGTGGTGTACCTTGGTAGCACACTACACTGTACCAACTGGAAATCAGTAGCTTGTCTTCGCATATCAATCAAAGGGCTGAAACTTCTCCCACCACAAGGCCAGGTAGCAGCAGCATGATGATGACTTGACATCATCTCTGCTTGGACGAGTAGAGTTGTGGCAAATGAAACGTGGAAGGCTCAGGACTCTGCCTTCCCCTCGTTTCCTCCTGTTGCGCAAGGCTGTCTTTGGCCTGCTAAAGCTTGCGACCTTCCAGAACTTTTATCTGGATGGGTGATTCCGTACTGTACGCGGTAAGGAGGGGAGGGCGCTGGGCAAAGGACCATGCTCTGCACGTGGCACGTCGCACGATTGGAATTATTTGATGCCAAAGGATCTTGCAATAAGTCAAGACTCACTCATCACTCATCCTACTGACTTCCAAGCGGAAAGGACCACAACCCAAAGAAACCATCAAGATGATAGCCTTTAACGCATCCATACAAGATGATACTAACACTGGGCTATTCCCTTTAGTACATAACACCGAGGCTGTGTTGTTTTTATGGGCGGCGGCCTTCGCTTGCTTGACTCTACTCGTCAACAATGTCGTCATTGGATGTTTTGAGAAGCTGCGGCTTCAGCTGCTTCCTTTCAAGGGAAGCAATGCGCTTTCGATCGAGAAGATCCATGACACAATTTGTCCTAGGCGCAGGGCCCGTTTCTTCAAGTGTGTGAAGCGATGTGAACGTCGCAAGTCCCAACAAGAGAAACAAAACAGCCAAGGCTGCGACAACACCAACAACAAAGCTGAATGGAACTGTCCTTTTGAGTGCTCTTTCGTCAAGATCCGCATGCCCGCACCTCTACCGTTCCGCAAGAAAAGAAGATCCAAGGCCACAAGAGACTTTCAACCACAGACTGAAGTGAGAGCCACTCCGCACCCACCAGCTGAAGAGATTCCTGCTAGTGAGGTTCACGCGGGTGCGGTGGTCACTTCTTCTGGCAAATCCGCTCGCCGTCGCCGTCGCAAGCGTTTGGCGACTGACTCTTCTACCGAAACAGAGGCGTCGGCTAGCACTTGCAGCAGCGGGGCCGCCTTGACGATTCCTTCGCTACCGGTCTCGTCTACATTGGTGATTGATCTAGCCATGATGCAAAATTGGCCACAGTTGTTGGTCAACCTGAAGGCCGATCGCCGAGGCGCGCGGCACAGGGACGCCGATGGACTATATCCCCTTCATTGGGCCGTATCGGGGGCGCCTCCGCTGTACATTGTTGAAGCATTGCTGAGGGCCTATCCAGGAGCCGTCAAGAAGGTTGATTCCGAAGGATCAAACGCTTTGCACTTTGTCAGCCACTACGGCGGATCTGTGGCCGCGATGGAGCTTCTCTTGAACGCATATCCCAAGGCGATCAGTGTCAAGGACAAGTATGGGCGTTCGCCTTTGTATCATGCGGTTGACAAAGCGGCCAAGATTGATGTTTTGGAGGTACTGGCCAAAGCTGACCCCGCCATGGTCTCATCCCCTTGTAGGCCCAAGAACTACAAGCAACTTGAGCAAGAGGGGAAGTCATGGAGTTACTTGACCCCACTGTACCTCGCGTGGGCCAATGTCCTTACAAACAGGCAAAGTGCAGGAAGTTTAACGGGGAAGATCTTCGACAAGGCGCGCCTCCTGTTGGAGATTGCTTATCGCCACAGACACGGATTGGCATCCACAGACCACACAACCATGGTCCCTCTCGTTGCGGCGATCATAACCTTGGACGGTTTTCTACCCAAAGAGCTGGCGGAAATGGTGATTCGGAAGGCTTCAGAAAACGATCTTCTCGAGCTGGACCCCGTTTCAGGCAGGAATCCTTTGGCTCTGACGGCTGGCATGACAAACATACCTCCGCAACGGGCAGCCAGGCTGATTCGGTGGCTGGTGGAAGCCTGCCCCAAGGCAGCCACAGAGACAGATCGAGAGGGCAGAACGGCTTTGGGTCACGCGGCTGCGTCAGGCAAGGCATGGGAAGAGGGGTTGGAAACTCTGTTCTGCGCGGCTCCCGAGACGCTGGGATGGGTTGACAGGAAAACAGGTCTGCCGCCGCCGTTGGTTGCTGCGACGGCGCCCCCATCGAATCAAAACATTGCAGCTGAGGTTGTAATGTCGGCCGACCCATACAATTTAATTGGTGTGAAATCCCTGTCCCTGAGGAGGAGGGCGTCAGAGCAGCCCCCAGAAAGAGACCCAAACGACGTGAGCGGGGCCAAAAGCAACGAACTCGCAAATCCTGACGCGGCGAATTTGTCGGCCATCTATCAGTTGATGTCGAAAGATCCAATGTGGATTGTACGGGCATAGTAAGATCAACATGAATAGAATTCACAAAGAGGTTTATGTCCTGATATCGAGCTAGCTAGCTAGCAACGACGCCGGCAGGTACCGCAGTCGCAAAAGGAGCTCCACTCACCGGAGCCAAGTCATGTCTTGGGTTCTTTGTATTTGTTCGCTTGGATGCCAGTAGTGATCGAGGAGGGAATGAAATAAACGGATACGCCGAGGGATGGTCTTTTGTCTCGTCGGTCGATGCATTGCTGCTCGCTGGAAAACTGATGAAAACGGACTATCCACAACAACTACGCTTGTTGTGAAGCAGACCGTGCCAATCTCGTATTATATGCTCCAATCCTGCCGTATCCAAACGTCTCGTGTCCCTCTCTGGCTGTGGCAATGAAGTGGGTTCGTGAACATGTGATTGTTGATTTGAAACCATTGTCTTGGGCCTGGCTTGTGTCCACCGCAAAAAATGAGTGTGCACCTATCCAATCCAATTTTAGTCCTTCAACCAACCGGTCAGTTCCCCATCTTTTGCCAATGTAAACGTTCTTTCACTCTCCATTCTGATTTTGAGGCCCTTGAACAGGTTCGCCAAGACTCTCTTGGTGGCAATCTCGGGCGTTGGCACCATGTACAACCTGTCCAGTCTTCCTCCTGCACATTGACACCCAAACTCCCATTTGGATCCAATTTCTTTGGGAACCAGTTTCTTGATCATGGCATTGATAACATTTGCCATCACAGAGGTATGATAAAACTTTGTAGTGACATTGGATGGGAATGCTCCAATTGTCTGGCAGGTGATCTGAGCTCCCATCTGGACATCAACCATACCTTTTCCCATTTGAAATCCTTCAAATTCGAAGATATCTGTTTTGCCAGCTCTGACGATACCCAAAGTGGGAAAAGTTGCATAGCACAGGTAAAAGGCGCCTCGAATGATGATTTCCACATTCTTTGGGTCTCTCCATATGCTTGTGCGTAATTTTGTGGCATCCAATACCATCAACGATCTTTCCTCCTCCAGATTGAATGAAAAGCACATGAAAACAAGTGGCATCAGTTCAATCATGGCAGAGAGACTTCGAACACCATCTGCATAGGTTAGTTGAATGTTGTACTCCTGTCGAACCTCTTGCATCAGGAAGGCCTTTTCCACCGATTCTGCCACACTCCCAACTAGGGCCATGTTTGCGTACATAAAGTCGGACAGATTGTCAAGGTCCGGCAGAGCCTCAATGGCATTCTTGATCAGGAGGGCACGTTCTTTCTCTTCTACTGACAGCTTGAACAAGCTTGGGTCAAGCTCCAGTTGTGTTTCCTTAGTTTCTGGTGTTGTACCAACTCTGCCTCTCCCCCTCGTCGGCTCATTGTCATCAAATGACCCATGCAAACTAGCTGTTGATTTGCCGTTGGTTGTCGTGGACTCCATACTGTTGGGTGGGTTGGCTCGAACTCACTGCTGCTACTACCGGTACATGAACTCTTTTTGCCTCTTGCTATTGCCTCCTTCGTAAAGCCATTGACCCGCTATCATAACAACTTTAACGTAAAGAGCTTCGAGAAAGTGGTTGAATGAAAGTTTGCTCAGGTGTTGGCTAGCGTATCTGGCCTGGAACGCTGCAACCGGGCTCCATGCAGCCTGTGTGCTTTGTCGCTTTGGCAGTGATCGCGGGAGATCCTGGACAATTACTTCGCCAGCTTTTATAGTTAAAAGCAGCTCTGCAATGTTACAGAGCTTCAACAGTGACCCGCAGCTACCATACCATAGCACCGGTTGCCAGCACGGTACGTCAATACGTACGAAGAGGTGCACAGCCGTACCCAGTACTCTGGTACCCGTAAGGCTTTTTACATTGAGGCATTGAAGGGTCGTATCAAAATGGCCATCTCAAATTTACTTATGAAGTTACCTGCGATAGAGCTAAAACCGGCTTGCCTCTGCCTCCGACTCCCATGCCGCCTCCACTTCTCTTCATCTCTATGGCTTCTACGGAAGCCCCTCCCCTTCATCTACGGTATCGAAGACTTTAAAGCCAAAAGAAACAACCCACTCCAACGCAACAACTCAGTCATCGAGTCCTCGGTACTGGGTTGCTCTTCTGTACTGTAGCGTGATCGTTCACTTCGACGTCGTCACCTTTGGCCGCCACTCATTCAGTTGGCCATAAACTAACTACCAAATTGCCAAATTGACTGTCTAGCTAGTAGATCAACATCATGAATACTCCCAATACATGCGACGACGATGAGATTGCCAGGCTGAACCACTATCTTCAACACTTCACGAGATTCGATGTTGTCAATGAAGGCACCGCGCAATCCGTAGCCGCTGCTGGACTTCGCAGTGTCGATGTGCCCGACAAGACAGATTACGACGAAAAATCCAACCATTACCATGTCGACAAGACAAAGGACAAGGAATTGGGTGACAACGTGTCTGCTGTACTGGTACAGTCCATATCGCCTTCCAACGAATACTCACCTGCTGAAGTCTCAGCAGACCAAAGACTCAACACGTTGATTCCAACTATAGTCAACAGCGCATCATGCAATCAGAGCCCAGAGGACAGTGACCACGGACCATTCAGACTCCAAGGAATCAGTGATGCATTACATAGCATCCAGCCTGCTCTTCTTGAACCAAGAGACCAAGACACAGTCGAAGAATTGAATAGCATCCAACCTATGCCTCTTCAACGGAACAATAATGTCGACTTGACGTCCCAATCAGGAGCTGGTGCATATGCCATTTCAAACCCATTATTTCGACCTCATGACACCAATCCGGAACCCAGGCCCATAACTGATACAGCACAGGACGTGGAAAATCCTCCTGCCCTTTTTCAGTTTGAAAACTCTGCGGACACCTTGGTGGAGGCGCATCTGGTCGAGGAAAGCCAGACTGAAATTGTCCATGCCGAAAAGGTACCAACCGAACCAACACGCATGCACAGAAGAAACCGGCTCCTTCCGTTTGTTGCTGCATTGATCATTGTGGCTCTTCTTGTAGTCCTTGGCATTTTATTGTGGGGGGATATCAAAGATGAACCAAGCAATGTAGACACAGAAACTACTTCCAACATCCGAAATCAAGGTAATGAAAGCTCAGTGGCAAGCAATGACACTATCACAATCATTGAGAGTGGGAGCACCAGCAACAGCACCAGCAAAAACAGCACTGAAAGCAAACAACAATGGTGTTTCAGGACTACAGAAGAACTCTACCAAACCATCACTAAATACTGGGAAGACACAAGCACAAACTCAAGTGTATCCAACATATATGGCTGGCCGATGAGCAAATGGTGTGGCATATCCAACATTACCATCTTTGATCATCTCTTCAAAGTGAGCAAACAGAGGGTTGACTATGATTCCATCATGCCTGCTAACTTGACCGACGAAGCTGTAATTACAGCTTCCAACATGGTAGAAGACATCGGGTCCTGGGACATGAGAAGAGCTGAAAGAATTGAGTTCATGTTTGAGGGATTGCAGAATGTATCTGAAAGCTGGGGAATCCAGAAATGGGATACCACCAGTCTTGTCAGCATGGAAGGGGTCTTCAAGAATACTTCATGGACCCTTCCAATGCTAAATTTGAGTTCTTGGGACACCTCCAAGGTCGAAACCATGGCCCACTTGTTCCTGGATTCAAATGTCGAACGTCCAGGAATTGCACAGTGGGATACTGCAAAGCTACAAACCATGTTCCGATTTGCAGATGGCAACCCATACTTTAATGAAGATTTGAGCAAATGGAACACTGGATCTGTCAGAACAATGCAGAAGGCTTTCAGACGCTGCACTAACTTTAACCAAGACTTGAGTGGCTGGAATACCAGTTCACTGGAACTCCTGAATATGGCATTCTTGGGAACTACAAGCTTTCACAGCAATATTGGCCAATGGGATGTCTCAAATGTTGAGACCCTATATGGAACTTTCAAAGAATCCAACTTCAATAATGACATTACCACATGGAGCGTGACCAAGGTCGCCGACATGCAGCGGACATTTGCGCAGAACAAAGCCTTTAATCAAGACGTTTCAGCCTGGAATGTGTCACGGGTTACGGATCTGTACAAGGCCTTTGATGGGGCATCCTCCTTCTCTCAAGATTTATGTGCTTGGCGATTCAGGCTTCCAACAGGTATTCGAACCAGGAACATGTTTCAAAATACTGGCTGTCCAAATACGTCTGATCCTGTCAGTATTGAAGAGGGGCCATTCTGCTTCAATTGCAACTAAGAAAAGAAACTTATATGGTGATTTCTTGCTATAGGTAATCAGATCAAATCTCCTGCCATTTTGAATGAGACTAGCTAGCAGAATGCACTAGAAGCTGCCTAGAGGCTGAGTATTTAACCTTATTCTTTGGCAATGTGTAATTTTAGGTCATGCGTTTCCTGGGAAGATTGAGCGCTTTTCTACTAATTGTTCCCTCTCTTGAAAAGTTGCCCAGGACCGTCCGACGGTTTTCACTCAGGCTCTAAAACGGCCACTACTGGTTCTCGTTCTAAGGTCATGTTTTTAAGGGCATGTTTATTTAAGGGCATGTTGCAGATTTAAGGGCATGTTCCAAGGGCATGTTTATTTAAAAGAGCATGTTCATTCATGATAAGGGCATGTTCTATGTCATGTCAATGAAGGCTTAAGGGGGTGTGGCGAGGCATTAAGGGAAGGGCATGTTTATATAAGGGCATGTTTTTAAAAGGCCATGTTGAAGATTGAAAGGCATGTTGAAGATTTAAGGGCATGTTTCAAACCATCCTCAGTGGTGGAAATTTCAATTTTTGTTTTAAAAAGCCTGAGTGAAAACCATCAGCCGGTCCAGGTTCGGGGTCCTGAGTCTTTATTTTACTTCTCTCCAAACTCAGAGCAACCGGTTCTGCCCAGTTGGGCAGGACATTGTACAAAAGGGGTTAGCTAGCTAGCTAGGGGGTTACTTTTTCACGGGAAGCCGAATCGAATCGAGGAGCTTCCCCTCTGAATCTGTCAACCAACACGAAAACACCTAATAGCAACAACGATAACAATACGACGGTCACTTCTATACCATCACCACACCTATTAGACCCATTGGAAGCATTGAAACGAAGCGAAAGGACCTCAGGAAGCTTGTTATCTGTTATTTCGTTGAAGAGTACTGTTTTACTATAGGAATCCACTCAACGTCATCACGGAAAACACACATCCCTTTTTCCTCTCTTTATCTCTCATTCAAGCCCTCATTCAAGCCCTCCGGTTGACAGGATCGATACCTCCTATCTCCTGCACCTCTGCTACCAAGCGACTATCAACGCGGCGTTCTCCGGTTCAGATTAGAAAGCCATCCCAATTGAAATCCTACGAGATCGGGCGGGTTTTCTATTCTCGACCGCCGACGGCCAAGTTGGAAGAAATTGAACACAAGAAGAAGTCTCCGGCCTTCCACAGCACAGTACAGAAAACAATTCCCATACGTATTTGTTGTTTTCTGAACTAAGCTCCTGACGGCCGAAGAAATCCCATTGTCGCTCCTCTTTTTCGAACGATCCATCTTCCTCCGCAACAACAGGATCAGTTAACCTTACCCCTAAGGCAACTGACTCACCCGAACCGCGAATCGATTCAACGAATCGAATCGGATCCAAGACTCGCTACTCCGTGAATCGATCAATCTTCCCGCGACCGTACCTCTTCCTCCGTACGGATCGAACGATCAAGAAGGACTTCACGAGATACCTGCAGTGACCACCGAGACGAGAATTACACCTGTATTCTTACTTTCTCACTGGCCACTAGTGGTTTCTCCCAACGTTCTTGTTGGCACTGATACCTCCTGCTACTGTTACCACTCCCCCATTGATATCTAACTCCTCTCCCAGCCAGAGGAACAACAAACAACAACAGAGTTCCTGTAAGGACTTGAGTTCTGCCATCTCCAGGCTCGGCTGCTTTCTTGGTTGGTTTACAGCCCCCCCTGGGATATCCAGCTCCTCTCCAAAGGATCTCACCCCCACAAGAACCAACAAAAGTTGCCCCTCTAGCACCACAGCTAGATTGTGCAACACCCCCCTTATTGAACCAGTCACCTCTCTGCTCCTGCTCCTGACTCTCCTACTGAGTGTGTCTGACTCCAAAGGATTGAGCCCCAGTCAGAACTGCAGCGTGGTGTGGCTCAGATATCAACCACCGCCTGACCCTATTACCTCTCTAGCTGATTGTTGAGTGACTCCTCAGTCTTTGTCCATTCCACTGAATCGAGTACCCTCTACAAATCTTGGCTTGACTCTCTGCTGAAGTCTGTGGTGGCCTTCACCAGATTGAGTACCAGCCTTTGAGACAACACAGTGTCAACCAGTAACACAGCCCCATCAACCAACAACACCCCTTGATCCCCCCACCACTGCCTCTACTGGCTATAGCGTGACTTCTCCAGTTTTCCCTGAAAGAATCCCTATCAGCCTTTGGCTTTGATCCCTTCCTTTTGCAGTTTGTGGTAACTGTACTAGATTGGGACCCAGCCTCTGAACCAGTGGCCATCCCCACCCAACAGCTTTGATCCATACCCTGATTGCCAGTGCCCCAGAGCATTGGCCTCCTTGAATAGATTCCTTCGAATTAATCATCCTCTCCACCTCACAAGCAATCCCTGTGCTTGAGTTGCAGCAACGACCCGACAGTCAACATTACACGATCCAACAACCTTCCCATCCACCAACCATCATGCCTACCACAGCAAACACACCCCACCCTCCTCCCTCCAGCATCATGCCATCTACAGCCCACAACCACCCCTCCAACATCCACCCCACAACCCCTCCTACAGTCCACACCGCCCCAGCAGACACTGTGCCTCCCCTTTGGGAGCCACTGCCTGCCAGTGCGTCACTTGGCCCTATCGCATGGCTCTTTGTCGGCTTCTGCCTGACATTGTTCGCCCACTGGATAGGTCATACCCTGACATGGTCCAGTCTTAGGTGCGCCACCGCCTATGGACTCTGCTGGCATCTTGCCCTGCACGACAAGGCAATGGCCACAGCATGGGACCTGATCACTCAGACGCACCTGTGGTGGAGGTGGATCGATGATGACTGTTGTCGATCAGCGCCCTTCTAATAGGTTAAATCCTGGCTAGGCCACCGCGCTCCAGGTCATGATGGGAAGATGCACACTTCCGTTGTAAGTAGAGCTGTAGGGACCTGCCCCTTGTTCATGGGGCGGAGGTGAACGGCGGTGAGACTATAGGATAGTGTAGCCGTGCTACTATGAGGCATATCCTCCTTCAGTGTTGATGCTTGGTGTGCACCGTGAATCTTCCTATCGTGCAATTCATCAATGGTATACGACTCAGCTATTTGGGCCCTCGGGCTCAACTATTGCCAGCGTAGAAAAAGGTCCTCCGGACCCAATAGGTTGTTAACCTAAATGAGTAATTCTATATATAAGAGGATTGCCCAACTGGAAGCTGAAACGACGAACTTGGAGAATAGCAATGCCGAAAAGGACAAAGCCATTGCTCTTTTGCAAGACAAGTTGTCGGACCTCCTGGCTAGGTCTAGGGCCCAAGAGGGCAAACCGAACTCGGCTTTCGCTCTCGAGATTTTGGCTTTTGCTAAAGACGAGCTGTGGCACACCGTTAAGTTTATGGTGAACGACGAGGAAATCCGCAAAGCTTGCAAGAAGGTCACCAAACATTTAGAGGTTTGTCGAGGCTGGCAAGGTGATGCAGAAAAGGAGGAAGCTTTTTTCCTCACCTACAAGAAGTCGGTGGTAAAGGGCATTAATGCCCGTCGCAACTATCTTACTCAGGAGTTGAAGAAGGTTGCTTTTGCTCGCATGGATAAGAGCAAGGCCCTTCCCACTACCGCCATGATCCTCAAGTGTGCTTGTCGCCAAATTGATTTGGAGGTACGTCCATATTCGTTTTATGCTAATGCCCCAAATGTTTGACTCACTTTTTAAATACCAATTTCCCCTGTTGCGCAAGGTTGAAGAGGAAAAGGAGCTTTTCATGTGGTACTGGAGCGAGTTCTTGCCTAAGGTCTTCGGAGCCATTGAGTGGGGCAAGAATGTTATGTTCTACAAGACCATCAGCGAAGCCAAAACCAGCACCAACAAGCCCATTTTCACCCCTCGCCAGGAGGCCAAGGCTGTTGTTGTTTGGGACAACAATGAAGCCAAGTGGACCGAGCTGCACAAATGGGTCAAGGAGCACCCAGGTGAGGCCCAACCCATCAAAGGAGGGAAGTACACCAATGTTGATGCTGGCCAAAGCGAGCATACTGCTTGGGAAGCTGATGGTTTGGAAGCCTACAACCAATACAAGAAAAAGGTGAAAGAGGCCCATTCCAGTGCCCACACGGGCAGCATTATCAGTCTGGAGCAGAAGACTCTGGAGCTTTTGCGCATTGCAAATGGGCACACCTGTGGCTCCCACAAGCAACAGCAGAAACTCAACAAGGCCAACAAGCGCAGAGCCAAGAACGCCTTGGAGCCGCTCCAGGCTAAAAAGGCCAAGACGGTTACCACCTTGGACGATGAAGATGACGATGCATACATGTGAGAGCATCTTTGTTTGGCCCATTTGGGCATTTCTCGGCCTCTGATGGATCTTCTGGCCTGGTTTCCGAAAAAGGTTTGGGCAAGTCGGCAAATCTGTTCATCCAATTGGACATTTCTTCTGCAGTGTTTGCGTCACGTTCCTGTGACTTTCTGCGAACTGTTTCTGCAACAACCAAAGACATTTCTGCTCAGCCCTGCTTTCTATTGCCCTCTCCTACTAAATGGTACTGTTCTCTGAGCTAATAACTAAGTTAACGATTATCTAGTTGTAAACTGCTTTGTCATTGTTGTCGTAGTCATGTTCACTTGGGCAAAGTAATGACGGATAATGTAGGTATGGTTGTGTCGGCTTGTGCATGGGATCTTTGGCGTCGTGCATGCGATCTCAGCGCCATTGGGTAAAATTCTGTGATGCCCCTTTGCGGCTTGTGCTCACTATTTGTATGCACTTGCTTGCGCAAAATGTCCGGGGACTTCGGCAAAGCTACGTGCCGTCCTATCACTTACCCAAGCTCACTTTTTGGAGGCATTTGCGCCAAATATCCACGCACTGGCATAAAGGTGCGTATCGCCAGATCTCTGTACGGAGCACACTTTTTCGACGCACTTCCACAAAAATATGACGGACTCGCAGGGACATTATGTTTGTTCATTTGGGCAATATGATCTGTGAACGAGTACATGATTTGGCGTATGTGGGTAAAATAATGCCCTTCGACATGATAAGGGACCCACATAAATGAGTCGCTAAAATTTGATCCAGCGTTTTGTGCACCTTCCCCATAATATCCACTTTGCCCAAAATGCGCTTCTTAGATGCCAGAACTGTTGAAGCAATTCCCTCCTACCAAATCCTGTTGTATTCAGAGCTCAAAGAATGGAATGCTTCCTCATCAATTAGAAAGCTTGCAGACATCTCACCCAACCATACCTGGTCAGAACATGTACAGCCAAGGAGCATTGAGTCAGGAGGTAGGCATGGCAGACAATAGCCCGCAACTTGAGGATACTCCACTTACTTTGATGGGCCGCCCTCCCAGGACAGGAGATTTTTTCCATGACAATAAAGCAATGCTGGAATTGTTTGCCCATGCTGCCAGAACAATGGATCCAAAGGTAAGACGGTCAATCCAGGATGAATTCAATAATATCGCATATGCAAATGCCACCAAAATCATTCATGAAAGTGCAGCAGCCAAGGAGGCCGCCGACAAGGCTACCAAGAACACCAAAGGGGATAGTACAAACGAAGACAGCTACAAAAACAGTATGTTTGTTGATCTATAGCGACCCTAGGAGGAGCCACTGAGGAGCATGGAACTTTGTAATAAATTTATTTATTGAAAGAAAAATGTTAGAGATAAAGAAAGAGAAAGCGGTGGAAACCTGCATAAAAAGCTTACATGTAATAAAGTAGCTAGCTAGATAGCGAGATAGAGCACCATGTCGTGTTGACAAAGCACAATCCTACTGTGGTTTGCATGAACGGTACCGAATTCCTATTTTAATCCTGAATTAGTAGATGCGTACAGTACTTTGTATAGTAAATGAATCTAAAGCGTGAAAAGCGAAACAAGAACAAAACAGACACTCGTATCCTGCACAGGCTTATATAATAAAAATATGCAAGACACTTTTCGAGAATTCGTGACTGCACTTCCAAATATATTCGTACAGTATAGTATATAGTAAAATATGCTATGGGTGCAAAAAGCTTGCTATGCAGGATTCGAACTATCGACCTTAAATCCCTTGTTAACCAGTAAAAATTGTTTCCTGTACAGCTTTAAGTGAAGGTGACATTTGAAACATGCATCGAATCGCCAACGGAACATAAATCCTGCATAGAGCGAATATGTATAGTATAACAGTACAAATTCGTGAATTGACTTGTATGTAGATTCGTACAGCCATATGTATAGTAAATTGTGCTAAGGGGTGCAACGGCGTTCTTATGCAAGATGAGTCAGGCGACTATGACATTCTATCTTGCACAGGCTTTAGTTAAGGTGCACAAATAGATATAAGCCTATATTTCGAATTCTGCATTGTGACTCAAAACGTATAGTAATAGAGTACTTTTTAATAGTTCGTGGCACATATCATACTCTCTGCAGGCGTAATTAAAAGCAGGAATATTGTAACATGTTTACAATCCATAGTACAGACGTATAGTAAAATAGTAGTATTGTGTTTTGCGTTCATCAAATCTTACTCCGGCGTGTTTGTCTAAGTTACTAGTTTTTGTGTAGCTTTGGTAAAAAAGGCTTAAATAAATGCTTCATTAATAAGCGTGTGAGAGACTGCGATAACTCCTCAGTGTCTACCTGCCATTGATAACCGAAAGAAGGATGTGAGGATCAAAAGTGCCCATGAGAGAAACAGGAGCAACAAAGAAAACGTTGAACAGTAAAATAAACATCGCCAACTAGTACTTACTTTCTATTTCAGATAGTTGTTCCAGTTTTGATGAGAAAGTCAAACTGACTCGAAGCAAACTTCTCCAACAACCACATATTTTCCTTGGTGTCTTTCAGGAAATTAGATGCAGGGGGCACGACATGGATCTCGTTGATTAGTACTTCACCGGGAATGTCATTGCCATCAGCGTCTCGAGTGATGCTATTTCGGTACTTGGTTTTGAATATGTCCAAACGGTAGATCAAGTGATTGTGCATGATTTGCATACCAGCTGAGGAATCGATAGCTTGCTTGAATGTGAAAAAAAGGAGCCCTTGAGCTCCGATTTGAAGAATTCCCAATCCTCCTTGGTCGTGCCAGCATATAGGGCTTTCCTAGTCAGCTTAGGAATATCATCTTTTTTCACCTTTTTGATAGCCTTCATTCCTCCTTTCATTCCGATAAATGATTGCCACTCCAAATTACCAGGCTTCACCACAACCCCATCATCGTATTTGAGGCGTTCCCAGGGATAGAAGGTGTTTAGCATGGCAAGGAGCTGACCAACACCGTTTTTGCCCCAGCCACTGATAGAATACCCAACTCTCGCGCTCTTGCAATCCAGGGCATGCCAACTGACAGCAAATATGGTATGCTTTGTTTTGAGTGAATCGTACCATTCCTTGGGAGTTTGAAAAATCGTACCCGACAAGTCAGCTGCATAAAAGAATTGGCCACTTTCAGTGATTGGGAATGAGTGCTTAAATCTCCGTCTCGAGAAAATTTGGTGAGTAACCCAGGCGTGCTGCTGCTCGACACGAAGCTGATTGGCAGAATTAGAAGCTGTTTAGGAGCTCGTCCGAAATATTTTATTTATGTGCTGGTTTAGAGCTTTTTGAAATGCTGGTCCAACTTGGAAGGATATAAAGGTCGATGTCACACTGGGACTTCAATAAAAAGTGAGCATTGGTTTTGGCTCGGTACGGTAGAAGGCACGCCGGATGTGGCCAGAGCGTGGGGACCTCGAAGCAAGCGCCAATAAGTTCTAAAGGTTGCCTCCGTCCACCACACAAAAACAATTGCAGTTCTGAATGCATTTGGTTGATAAAGACGATGACAAGTATTCTGAGCGGTCAGAACGCTTTGCAGCAGCTTCCTTCTTCGGCCAGGCCGAATGAAGATTCGATTGTATCTTACAAGCTTGATTCTAAGCTCCAAACAAGACGTAAAAGTTTGAGCACTTCCAATGATTCCGGGGTTGAGGTGTTGAAAGTGTCCAAGGTGAGTAGAGTACTAGTACTAGTGCTAGTACGCTTGTAGCTGTTGATTGATGGATGGATTGATTGATTGACTGACTGACTGTCTGACTGACTGACTGTACGTAACGGCGCTTCACTCTAATAATAGAATGGAAAATTGTACCCTCGACGCCTGGCATTTTCTCCTGATCATCGGTGCATTTACGTGACAACAAACCGATTTCGATCTGTCAAGGGATTCCTGAAGTATGCGCTGCAAACATCCAGAGAAGTGACAGCCAGAACCATTGGTATTGGAGCCATCGACCACATTCTCCGTGGACAACAGACCAAACGGTTTGCCATTGCCCGAGTGACAGCACTTTCCAACGAGGGCGACTCTGTGATGAAACTCATGCTGGAGAGCGAATCCATGTCATTTAGCGTGGTCTATCGAGTATCACCCGACAACTCTCCCCTGTCATCCGGCATCCCCATGATTGATGGAGCATTGGCAGCCAAACAACAAACCAACCAATACGACACGCTCGATCTCATCCTCCCCAATCAACAATCCTACGAAACTCTTTTAGCTTCTCTGGAAGACTTGATCGCACTACACCGAGAAGAACGCATGCGCTATGCTAGAAACATCCTGCTGCTTCAACTTCATTGGGGAGATCTCGGAAAACAACTCACGGATAGCATGTCGGCATCAGAGTGGTTGATTCTATGTGACAGAATGAATATTCCGCTCTCCAGAAATGAACATTCCAGACTCTACAAAAACTACGAAAAACAACTAAACGAAGGTGAGGGAATGCTGTTCTCTTACGTAGGAGAAATACTCGAAGATATTGAGGCTGAAACGATCAATGATCCGTGTGACGCCGTATGGAAGGATATTGTTTCCACGGATCCCATTCCAGCCGTCAAAGTTGGTCGCGCCGAAGATGACGCATCCTTGGAGCTTCTCAATGATGAAGGCGAGGAGGAAACTATCTCAGCTGTCGCTCTGCTCAGCTTTATTCGATCACAACAAAAACAATTCTCATCTTCGCTAGAAGATGCCATCAATCTCATTCATACACTGAACAATCAAATCACATGGGATGACTTGGAAGACTCCCAGAGATTCGATGTTACAGAAGATACCCGAATAGCTTCTCTGGATCGACTTGGGAAGTCTCGCTTCGTGGCGTTCCTCCTCTCCGATTATAACGATATTTATGATCCGGCAGCTTGTGTGCCGAAACCAGAGGAAATGTGCATGCCACTAAGCGACTATTGGATACACACCAGCCACGACTCCTATCTCGCCAAGGGGAACGATGGCGCACTCGGGGGTCTCAAACGTGTGGCTTGCACGGAAAACGGACCCAATGGTGCTGCCGCAGGAGGAGGAACAAGTGCACTTGGCGGAACTGATAGCGCCAAGGAAATTGTCGATGAGCAAATGTATCTTTATGCTCTGCAGCGAGGTGTTCGATGCTTGGATTTAGATTTGTGGGACGGGACGACAGGGGCGCCGGTTGTGGCCAAGTCCGAGCCAACTGGAACCGACGGAACAATCCCTTTGGCGGTGGTCTTGCGGAACGTCCGCTCTTTCCTCAAGCACAACCCAATGTCTTATCCTGTCATTCTGCGAATCGAAAACCACTGCTCCTACGTGGTGCAACAGAAAGTGGCACAACAAATCACTCATATCCTTCTTGGAGCCAACATCCTCGCTAAACCAGACATTGAGGCGATGAATGAGAGATCCCCGTTGCCGAGCCCAGACGCCTTGAAAGGCAAGGTCCTCATTATGGGAAAGCGTCCCTCTGTGGTGGAAGACGGTGCAAGGATTCTCAACGATGACTATGACGACGAAAACGACACCACAGACGAGAAGCTGTATCAAAACTTGACATACGACGAAGAGGAGTTTGACGATATGAATAACCATGTCATTGGCTTCAACTCTTCTGGACCCATCACTGCGTCGGGCCCTCCTCCTGGCCGAGAGGCGGATCACCAAAGATCATTGGAGGTCGTCTTGAACGAAGCAATGGAGGATGCGGAACAGGCAAAGCAGGCTGCGTCACTTGCAGAAGCCCGCGCTGCACGTCTTCAATTCGAAGCCGGAGAAGCCGAAAAGCTCGCGGCCAAACTAACTCAGGAGGCCGGGTTGACTCCGGCAGAAGTCAAAGCTGGCGCAGCCAACAGTCCTCGCAGCGAAGGCCAAGGTGTGGAAATGCAGCTAAAAACCAGCAACTCGGGGCCACACGACGAAGGCCTTGAAGTGCAAGAATTTCTCTATGAGGAGGTAAAAGGCTCGAGGAGCAGATATTCATCTGTCATTAGCGAAGCCATTGAGGCGTCGGAAAATGCCACCGAGAAGCTCACCCTCTTGAACGAGGCTGACTCGGCTCTTCGCAATGCCGAAACAAGCTTGTCCCAAGCCAAGCAGAGGGAGAAGGATCTGGCGGAACAGTCCAGGCGGGCTGCCGTGGAGGCTCGGTGTAACCGAGAGCATGCCGGAATAGCCAAGAGAAGGATCGCCACTGTACAAGACTTGGTCAAGAAATGTGAAGAGAATGCCAACAGTGCCAGAACTGTCGTCGTCACCGCCACTACCGAGGCCAAGATAAGCGAGAGGCGTGCTGGGGAGGCGGAAGCCCGCGCTGGCCGTGCGCTGGCAACGGCGGAAAGAGATCGCAGTCGAGCCGACGCGGAAACCAAAAAAGAAGAAAAGCTGGAGGAAGAGGCCTCCAAACTTCACACGGAGCGATCTGAGGCGAGCGATACCGCCAAGTTGGCAAGGGACCGCGTTGAAAAAGCCGCCGCCATGCTGGAACGAGTGGATGAACAAGTCAAACTGATCGAGAAGAGCCACCAGTTCAAGGAAGAAGCCAGGGAAAATCCAATGTATCGTGAAGGAACCATGCCCCCGTCTGAAATAGAACTGTTCCCAAACTTGGCCAAGCATGCTTCGAAAATAGAAGAATTGGAGCTCTGTAAGGACCTGATCAAAGAAGCGTCCAACGAAAACGCCAAAGCGGAAAGTCTCCGACGTGCCAGTCAAGAGAGATTCGAAGAGAAGGCACAGATGTGGAAAATCCAAGCAGACATTGCCGTCCAGGTTCGCAAGCAAGCCGATCGTAGCTCCATGGTTGCAGAGGAGCTGGCCGAACATGCAGAAGAAGAGAGGGATGCAGCCAATTTGCGTCACGTCGCCCGCGATAAGGCCGAGGCCAACGTCCAGGAGAGAACTTCCCATCTCGAAAGCGTTCGAGCACAGCTAGCAGAGGCAGAACGAGCTTCTTCGGACGCGGCTACATTGGCAGTAGAAACTCGGAAGCGAGCGGATTCCCTTGCCATCGAGGCAGAAGCCGCCACCGACTTCTCACACAAGATTGCTGCTGTCGAGAAATGCAAAATTTCCAGGGAGAAAGCCTTCGCCGCGTACGAAGCAGCTCGAGTTATCAAGGACGACAAAGATGCTGTTGCCGCAGATACAAAGCGTCTTTTGGAAACAAACGCTGAGGTTTACACAAGTGCCGTTCGAGAAGCCGCTGCCGAGAGCCATCGTGTCAACACGGAGCGCCTTTCAGAAAAGAAAGCAATCTTGGCTTACAACAGGGCATTGCTGACTCGAAAACAGGCCGACCATGCCAAGGCTCTGTCAAAGATCGCAATGGCGACGTCGCAAGAGAAATCCCTTGCTGCGAAACAAGCACAAGAGTACAAGATTCGAAGCAGCCGGGTATCGCCTATCCCAGCGACCCTTGCCAGCCACACATGGCTCCACACAACACGACACAAGTATTGGGAAAAGACACTTAGTCTACCACCTTTCCATGTCCTGAGCATGGCACATCAAGGGTTGGCGTTGGCGCACTCCAAAGACCACAAGACAGTCCAACGAAAGATGGTTCATTTCACAAGGAACCATCTCTGTCGAATTTTTCCATCCAATTCTTCCATTTCCGATTCAGCAAGCAAGAATTTCGACCCTGTTTTGCCCTGGTCGTTGGGATGTCAACTTGTCGCCGCGAACCATCATGCACCAGATGAAAATTTGATGCTTGTTGCAGCTCGATTCCGTCAAAACGGATCTTGTGGCTACGTTCGCAAGCCATCAGCTCTCACTCGACCAAGCAACATCAGCAATAAAGAGCAACGTTGGAGGATCCGTGTGTTGCGGGGGAGTTACTTGCCGAAGCCTGATGTTCGGGTATCGTCTCATCATCATACAAACAGATGCGTGAGACCTTTTGTGAAAGTGGTGCTCCACGACGGTGAGGATCCAAGTGAGAAGGGACAGCAACACAGAACCAGCGTGGTCCCTTCCAATGGATTGAATCCAGTCTGGGACGATAAGCAAGGCTTTGAGTTTGTGGTGTCCCAGCCCTGGGTTGCGATGTTATCTATTATGGTCTTTGACAAGTCTGACAATGGGATGGAGGACTTTATTGCTGGGTCGGCGGTACCCGTCGCCCACCTGCGACAAGGGTATCGAAGTGTTTCTCTCTTTGATTCATCCCACGTTCGTGGTGGCGCCTACACCTTTGCTTCCTTGCTTGTTAACTGCCAAAAGGTTTCCTAAGAATAAGTACTGGAGCCAGTGGCTAATTCTACTGTCTAACTACTACCTATCATAGCTAGATCTAGTACCGGTACACTCTGGTCTGTATTCCGATACAAGAAAACTACAATACCCGGAGTCACGAACATGCACTACAGCGTAGCTATATATTGTCATTGGAATTGTTCAATAGCTGGTGCTTTGACACAAAAGATTAGTACCAGGTAGTTCGGTCCTTCAACTACAGTACGTAGTAGTTTGACTGCGAAACTGTCATTGTAGAAAGCAAATGATCATTTGAGTAAGGCTATACTTGTACATGTATGTGAGGAGAGAATAATTAATTCATTTTTTCCTTTTTCCTTGTGATGGTCTGCCGGGATTGACGCATTTCGAGCTCCGTCAGGAAGGAGCATTGGGAGGCTGAAACAATACGAATACCATACTGTATTATTGTGTTGAAGCTATGCATTTCGAGCTCCGTCGGGATCATGATGATCAATTTCGTCAAAGGAGGATGGCATGTCACTGCTGGGCCCTCTGTAAATGTCTCTCCAATTTTGTGCATGTACTTCATCCAAAACGAGGCTGAAACAAGACACGAGGGCATCCCGTTCTCTAGGTGAATTGGCTTCCAAGTCTAGAGATCCTTCCTTGGTAAGTAGTGAGAAGCAGAGATTTTCACTGACCGCCGCATTTTCGACTCTTCGCAGAGCGGTAGTTTGTTTTCCCACGTCAACATACATGATATGCGAAAGGGGTACTTGGTGGAGCTTTCCAATCTTGGGTTTGGGGTCTTTGCTTCCTTTCTTTCTGGTTTCGGTTCTCCATGTGATGGCGCTTTCGGTGAGTTGTAGTCGTACAGTCTTTGGTTTTCCACGGCTCCCATGTGCCACAATGAGCACTCCCGGGTCTCTCAATTGCTGCATGGCTGCACTGATAACAATTTCGTCGTTTTGTTGCATGTCCAATATTTGTTGCTGACCTGAATAATCCACTTGTTCCTCATCGAACTGCCGTGCCGCCGAACCATAGTTTCCAACTCCTCCACTATGCATCCCTGGTCGAGGGCCCGAATTGCCAGCCGGTGCCGCAGTGTTGAGCGAGGATCCTCCTCCGGTTGCCAAGGACCCCCCTCCCATGGAGTTCTGCACAAACAACAAAGCAGGATAAGATAAATGATGGATTAGAAACTAGCTAGCTAGCCAACAACACGATACAGACATGGCATCATACATACCTGTGCTACACTTCTTCCCCCACGCCGAGCGCGAATTCTGGCCGACCAAGCATGTCGCTTGGGATATGCTCCAAAGTACTGTTTTCGAAATGCTTTGGGCAGAAGGAGATAGAGCACAAAGCAAACGAGCAGCGAAAATAAAAAGACGGAGAAATGTAGGGGATCAATGCCAAAGGGTCCCTTGGGTCGACCGTCGCTCATCTTATCTTGTCAATCAAATCAATCAGAGAAGGGAGGAATGTAGACTAGCTAGCTACTAGTACCTGTCATCCAAGAGTTGCACCATGGAGAAAGACGATGATGAGGATTGAGGATGATGGAAACCAATGCCGAGCAGGAAGCGGCGATGGCATGGTGGGATTGGAGGCCAATGATTGAGAAACGGTAAAGAGGGGCACGCTCGATTTGTTCGTAAGCACACTTGTCCCAATTTTTGGAGGTTCGCCCGGAGACTTAGAGGGCTTTTCCTTCGCTCAAGCTGCCCGACGATCGACCCGTTGAGAAGATTGACATGCACGGAGTAGTGCCCATGTTCCACCACACCAGAAGATCCTCCACGATACCACTAACAACTGCTGAAGTCTTCCTTTGCTGTTGTGTCGAAGGTTACTCGAGTATTTCGTTAGACTAGCTAGTAGTAGTAGTAGTAGTATAGATATATCTACATCAAGATGGCGGCTTCTGATCAAATCCGACAAATGGTGAATTTCATCCTCCAAGAGGCGCATGAAAAAGCCAACGAGATTCGCGTCAAGGTACAGTACTGCACTTGTGTTTTGACTTGCTGACTGACTGACTGTAGGAGTTGTGGTTTGCTTACCATTTCATTTCATTTCGCTTCTCTTCTCTTTTCTTCTCTTCAGACGGAACATGACTTCAACTTGGAAAAGCAGACTCTAGTTCACGAAGCCAAGCTCTCCATTCAGGATGAATTTACCAAGAAGGAAAAGGATCGTGAAATCCAAGAACGCATTGCTCGTTCCGCGGAGATTGGGGAGTGCCGCGTCAAGAAGATGAAGGTCCGCGATGAGCTCCTACAGACTCTCTTGTCCGAATCAGGATCCAAGTGTGCTGTCGTGGCTCGTGGACAGAACTATCCCCAGCTCTTGCAAAAGCTCATTGTCCAAGGACTCATCAAGATCGAGGAGAACGAGGTCACCATTTTCTGCCGTGGCGAAGACGTTGCCACCGTCAGCAAAATCCTACCCGAGGCTGTCAAGGAGTACGTCGAAATCATCAAGCGGGAAGCTGGCGTGACGCTCAAGCCCCTTGTCAAGGTCAACGAAGACCGTTCCAAGGATTTGGGAGAAAAGTCCCACGGGGGTGTTTTGTTGACCGCCTTGGATGGAAAAATCAAATGCGACAACACCATGGCCTCTCGTTTGAATCTTGTCTACGAAGAATTGTTGCCTTCAATCCGCGCTATTCTCTTCCCAGAAGTTGAACAGTAAACGGAAACACAACAGTCATATCATACAGTACTTATCGAACAATTCACTCAATGTCAAAGGCAACCTTGGTGTTGGGTTTTGACTGATTATGACTACTTTCTTATAATAGGTAACTTATCTTTATGGAGTATTGAAAAGAGTACCAGTACCTAGCTAGCAGGAGATATCAAAGAGCTCTTGATAGTACCGTACCGGTGCGGTGTATGATTAGGTCATTAGGTCACCCTTCCGCCATTTCTGTAATCAGTCCACACACAAGACGAATGATACCGGTCGGCACGGCCTCATTGGTTGTTGAAGCACCAGCTCCAACAGGTGATTATCGTATCGCACATCGAACTATGTACATGTACATGTACGTCACACAAAAAATGGAATGGAAGCAATGAGGAGCCTATTACTGTGCAGCCATACAAAGGCACCCACCCCACCCCGTCTTGCACCTTCCTGCCAGCCAACCGAGCAAGGCACCAAAATGGGGTACCGGTAGGGCCACCTTCGAGGGATACCGGTACCATTCCTTGCTAGCTTGCTCCACTGATGAAGCTACTAAAACCGCAAACTACCAGGAGCTCAGAATTTGGAAAAGCGGAAGCAACGGCAACCCTCTATGGATACTAGCAAGGACTACTAGTGATCCAATGGTCGCTGTGTTGTACCGGTACCGTAGACCATAACTACTGCCGTACATGTAGCATTTGTAGTGTCCACAGACATCTCAGACATCACTACTGGTACACACATTTCACACACAACATACTCGTACCGTACATATACACATATGCACACCTACACACAGAAGCACAAAGCAAAGTAAGAAAGACCCTCAGTCGCTCCATACTGTACTCTAGGCCCCTCTTTCATCCCAAAGCCATTATTTTCCTCTTGCAGCACCTGTTTCCTTTCTAACCATGATGATCCTATCCATCACTTTGGTACCTCTTCTGGTACCGGAACGTACGGTAGTCATTCCTCTCGTAGCCACCAGCTACCGGTACCGGTAGGAGCGTCATCGTGGCGTTCAATGATCAAACACTCGTCACATCAACCGACACCGGTACTGTATGCCTGGACTGGACCAAGTTGTGAACCTGTCGATGGTTCCCCAAATCCTTCAAGCTCCCTTGACGCTCTAGCTAGCTGGTGAAGCAGTATTATCTATGGTTAGTAGTACCTCGTCCCAACAAAGTATAAGAATGCATATAAAATCAACTACTAGAGTTTTGACAAATAGCGACAGGAGCCACTACGCTTCCCTTTCTAGCTAGTAGTTTAGTAGGGAATCTTCCAAACTGGCGCAATGCAGATGGACTTGCCATGTACAGAGGAGTCTCTAAACGTCACTTGTCGAATTCGTCACGAGAAGATTGGAGGACGACGCTGAGACCGAGGTCGTTGCCGCAGCCGATGAATGCCCGCTCCTTCGTCGTTGGTGGTCGCGCCAGCGGTTTTGATAGGCAATGGAGATTCGTAGTCGATTCTCCGAGAGTTCTTGTGCAATCATTTCAAACTGGTCTCTCGATGTATTTTCTCGGTCTTCCTCCAGTAGTTCGAGCTCATCTTCGTCAAAGTAGAGCAAGCTCACGTCCTCTGGGCGGGTCTTGGGTCTAAAGTACTGGCATGTTACCAGAGGTTCTGTAAATCGCACCGACTTTCTTTGTTTTCCAATGTGTGACTGCTGCGTGTTCAAGCTTTCACTCCTTGTGGTCGCTACAGCCAACGTTGAGCCAGAGGTCGATTTGATTGACTTGGTCCCCGATGTAGGCTGCAATTCGGAGTATTCGTCCTGATCTGTCATGTCAAGGTTCAGCGACCACATCTGTGACTCGTTGCTGAGGACAGCTGATGGAGAAGGAACAGGCTGTTCGCTTTCATCTCTCTTCTCCGAGTGCCAAGCGGAACGACCATTGCTATTGTGGTTGTTGTCTTTAGACGACGGTGCCCTGTGTTCCGCAGTATCTTCTCGTGATCCCGTGGAGGAGTCGCTTGGTTTGGTACCCCAAGCATGTTCCCACTCGTAAGCGGCTGGATCCGCCAGTGTCCTGGCTTCCTTGCTCGCACAAGCACTCAAGCCGTGATCAGCCACCTTGGGCTTCAACTTTTTGTTGAACTTGACGGCGTTCTGAGACGACCATGAAGCCTCCGAGTCGTCATCCGAAAAGGCAAAGGCGGCTGCTTGCTCGAGTGGCATCACGTAAATGTTTCCTTCCGTGTCTTCCTTGTGTTCGAACTCGTATCCGCGCTCGCTGTGATTGTTCGATACACATTGGTGTTGCTCGTTTTGCTGGTGCTGGTTTTGATGATGGTGGTGGTGCCGCGAAGATTTGTTCTTGTGCTTGGTGGTGGTAGAGGAAGTGGTAGATGGGCTACTGTTGGAACTGCTGACAGAAGTAGGAGATGTGTTCCTGTTCTTGTTGTTATTACTCAGTTTGGGAGCGGGTTCGAGTTTCAATCTGTCAGTGAGTTGTTGCACATTTACATGTAGTTGGGGAGGGAAGCAAACACCCCAGGGGCCCTTCACCCAAGAGCTACCGGTAGAAGTGTTACCACCGGTAGCTGCGTTTGCGTTTCTTTTGACATTCGTACTACTAGTACCTCCTCGCTGAAGGGATTTTACGTCCATGGTTGCGCAAGCCTCAAAGCTGGCGTCTTTGCTCTCCAATGAGTAAACTGCGATCAGGTGATCAGTGGAAGACAGACTGTCTCGTGTGTTTCTTCTGGCCAAAGTCTTGACTTGTATGGGCATTCTGTGACAAAAGGGGTCTCGACTCGATTCCAACTTGAACAAGACGAAAGACCAACTGACCACAAACGATATCTGATCTCTTGCGTTTTCTCCTGTCGTTCATTGATGCCAGAGCAATGGCAGTAGTCTCGATTTGCCCAACAATACTGGTGTCGTATCGTCGTACTAGTACTAGTATCGTCCAAACCAATCAACACTACCACCCTGTTTACAGAGAAAAATGAAGCGTGAAGCGACGAAAGCGTTGGGGAGGCAGAGCGAAGCGTTAGTGTTGCTAGGAGGCACTATACTGTGGAAGGACTGATTCGCCGAAGGGCGTTGCGCACCTATTTACCATCGCCTGTCGCCTGTCGGGACATGGATCTTAGGAAGGTCTAGCTAGCTAGCGGAAAGATATTTTCCACGTCTCTGGATTCGGCTTGCGCGGAGAGGGGACTCTCAACCTCATGGGCCTGATCCATTAGCCCAAGCCCTAAACATAATTCCCAGGGCTCGCTCGGGGTATGTACCAACGTTTCGCCTTTTTCCTTTTTTTGTGTGCACAGGCTTGCCGCGGTACCGTACCAGTACTGGTACCGATACCGGTAGCTAGCTACCGTACTAGCACTAAAAGCTACGGTACCGTATGGGATGACCTCTTCCTCCCCTGGCACTGTCTTCTCCTTGTCCTCCCCTACCTGCCGCCCCCTTCTGTTGGCCTGGCTGCTCATTGGTTTTCAGCCATCCCTGCCCGCTGGACCTTTGCTCACCAGCCACTGACAACACCATTGCTTCACACATACCTGTAGTCCCCTCTAACACAGCATGATCATAGACAGCCATGCCCGTAAAAAGCTCTAGCTTTGAGCCGAAACCACTTAGTGCTTCAGCTAGTAGCTCTAGCCATGTAGCGTAGACATGGACTATAGACAATAGCCCTATAGGTTCCTAGTACGATGTCATTGCTACCAAGCAACTTGCCCACCTAGCTTTATGAGTCCAGCTATAATGTGTGGTTGCTTTGCCGCTCGAAGCATCACAGCCAGAGGTAGGTAAACATCCTTTTTAGGACCGTCCCCTGGAAGATTCATTGTTGCTACGCTGTGTCCGGGTGCACTAGCATGGGCAATGGCCTACAGTACTGTAAAATTATCGGTACTTTCTATTCCTGCTCGAACATATCATTAGAAGGCAGCCAGCAACATCAGGACTACATCCTGTTGACAGTATCTTTGAGGGCTTCAATATCCGATAGAACAGTTTTCAATGTTTCTTCCCGAACACACAACTCGGAGGCTAATGTGTTCGTGTTTTCATACATTGCTTTGACCTCAGCCGACTCAACAAGTTTGTTGTGCCAAGCAAGAAGCTCTTGATCGCGCTGGAGTCTAAGTTGCACGACCCTGTTGTACGTGTTTGGCAAGTCGCATACAAACTTTTGAATAGCCTCGGAAATGGCTGCCTGGTTCACTATGGGAACATCCGGAACGGCCAGTAACTGATTGACGCCACTCCAAATGAGAGAACACTGGCTCAGAAGAGTTCCTGCCATTCGAACTACGTTCAAATCATTGTGAAGGTCAAACGTCTTGACCGGATCGGTTCGCTCGTTTCGACTATTGAGATAGTCATCCAAGTGGCTCGTGGCGAATTCATCGTAGGTTTCATCGGCATCCCGCTCCCCTCCTGGGTAGGGAGCGCTTCTCATGCCGCAGGACCGAGTCTCCTCTGATTCTTGTTGGTCTCGTCGTCGACTAGAATTGATTGTGGTGTCATTTCCATTCTTCGTAATGGGATGGCCAAAGCTTGAACGAGAACGAAGACTTCCGTTATCCAAACTTGATGCAAGCTCCCTCCTCCGTTTTCGACGGAGCTCACGATTTGCGTTCTGACGTTGCATGCGAGCCAACAAGGGAGATCGACAGAGCTGATTGATGCCGGCCTCGCCGTATGCATTCAGCATCACCCGCGCAATAGGGCGAATCAGCAATTGTCCCCAATCGTTGCCTCCATCATCGACACCTGCCATGGCTTGAAGACAGTCAAATCCTCGTTTACCCAGTTCGAACTCAGTATTGTCAAGGAAGAGACCGGCCCCTTGAATTGGTTCGATTTCAGCCTCTTCGCGGCCGAAAAAGAAATCTAGGAAACCACCGTCGGCAGGGGCAATTGCCAACACCAGCAGCAATCCTATTGTCCAGAGTCCATCTGCAAGCTTCATGGTCGCTTGACAAAAAAAAAGAAATAGTATGATTCGATTGAAATTCCTGACAACAATGCGATTTGGCCTGAAGCAACTGAGGAGCTAGCCATCTCTTAGCCATCTCTACTAGCCAGCTACCAGGGAGTAGCTACTACGGTAGTACCAGCGTTGCTAGTACTAGCTAGAGCTAGTACGGCAAACACATGATTGTTGATTGGTGCGCGAAGGCCTTGCCGGTTGAGGGGTGCGCCTTGCACCGTACTGCAGTGCTCGAACGGTGCGCGCTTCGTTCCGAGCTGAGGTTTTTCGTGCTGTAGCAATAAAAGTTGAAGCAGACCACTTATAAAGCCTGCTTGTCATTGAACATTATAAACAATCAATTGCTTGCCAACATGTACATGTACATGCTATTCGTATCGCTCTTCTGTATGGCGTTCCTTGTCGAGGCCAAGCTTGTCGTCGAACATGTCGTTGGGGAGCTTTCGAAGGATCAAGTCCAACACGGAAAGTACGGGTTTGGTTGTCTGGAAAACCTTTTTGGTGACGAGGGGAGGCATATACTTCATGACTACAAGGATCTAGTAGCTGTCAACCCAAAAGAAAACCACGATGACAATGACTACGATCAGCTCCGCTACGAGGCCATCTACGTGATGTTTGGAGCGGACGGCGTGGACACAATTTGTGATACGACGCTGAGACTGCGAAAGGCAAGACTGCTTCAGGGTCGTAAAACAAAACCAATGCCTACTCATACCAATGCCAACAACTTCAACTACAATCACCGCAACACCCAATACGATGCAACATGCATCCCTTCCGAGGCGTACTATCCAGCCGACAACGATCCCATGGGCGAGTACAATGAATGGGCGCAAGAAAACGTTGACCCTTTTCTGCCCGAAGGAGCAGACCGAACCTCCCGCACGGACCCTGCTAAACTTGTACGTAGTATTCAAGATACCATTGACGTGTCATTGGAAGCTGAATACGCCAGTATGGCGTGCCATCCCATCGTAGAAGGTATCCAAGCGTTGGTACGTGTGATCCCAGGCTATACTTCGCATGACTGCTTCTCTCGAACCAAATCTCTCGCTGATACTCACTTTCTTTTCGGTTCCTGGGCTGCTTTCGTCACGCGTTCAAAAAGGCAACCATTCCCGATGCAGTGTTTATCAACCAAGGCGCGATTATAGGGAGTCTTAAGAGCTTCATTTGCGGCTTTAGCAGTCGCACCGCCGCCTTTGCCACCAACACGTTGTATAGCCAGATGGCTCGAGCCCAAGCACACGACTTTTACATTGATGCTGCAGAATCTAGTGCGGCATACATGAACACGGCCAATATGGTCAACACGGTTTGCACCAACTCCAATGCCCAACTCAGCAGAGCCGTCGAGGAGTTGTCCGACATCAAACGAGCCCTGGAAACGCGTTTCCGTGTTTAAGATGAGTCGGCATACCGGTAGCCGACTGTCAGCAAGCGCGTTCAGGTGTGCATCGTACCGGTAGCTGGCTTGTGCCAATGTAATACTCTACGTGATTGTAGCAGCACCATAGTCTACATGTTGGACGTTACTACTGGTACCTACTGTACCGGCACAATGACGAGGCACGATACGGAGAGCAGACCGAAAGCCTCGATGGCACAATACCAAAGTGCATGTCGGAAAGGATGAGAGCCCAAAACAAATACACAAGTAATACATATCGGAAGCCACGGAGGCTCGCCATAAAGATAACACTTCAAGCTTGACTCATCAATAGATGCTGAATGTTGTAAGGGTGCAACGGAGAACCTCATCAGCAGCTAACCTTCCACTTCAACAAACCATTGAATACGAAGTTGGAAAGCTGCAGCCAATGACGGGCGATCTGTTCCACTATTTCAGTGTTGATGTTTTGTTCCAAGCCAGCGCTGACGTTGTCGCTATTTTGGATACAAAACGCATGTCTCGAGATGAAATGGTTAAACACCATTCCTCGTTAAACTTTCCACTCTTCGCAATTTCGGAACACGAGGTCCCCAAGGGCAAACAGATCCAATCCGAGTCCATGGATGTCTGCTTGAGACCTGAGCAGTGAAACCGTGCCAAAGTATACTCTAAATAAAACCATAGGTGAGTGGATCGAGTTGCTCATCTCTACGTGTCATTGCCCCAAAAGATCTTGGTGTCAACCCATCTAAAGACGAATGCACCAATCAGCGAAGGCTGGAAGCAAAACTCCTGAACTTTCATGCTGAGAAAGATCCACAACGTTGGAGAGAAAGAGATGCATTTGCCTACCTTAACCCCCCGATCCCTTGCTTCTCCCCCTAAAGTTTTTTAAGTTCTACAAAAGAAACCAAAGAAGTGTTGAGAGACCCGGCGTCTGAGCCCACCTCTTCTTTTAAAAAAAAATAGTTAGCTAGCTAGCTACCTGGTAGATAGAGGAGCTCTATTGACTAGCTAGCTAGCTATGCATAGTTAGGTTGTTTTGTTGAATCGAATCAATCATTCAGAGTACCGGTAGGCTACTAGCACTCGCTATAATATATTATGTGTTGTTGATTCTGAGATTCTATTCAATACCATGATGCTACTATTGTTAATAGTAATCACCCCTCTTTGCGAATGCACCTGTGTTTTCCAGACCTCTTGGCATTCGGCATGTGGAACCCAAGCAAAAAACGTATGGCCACCAAACGGCGAAGGAATCTGAATCTTTTTGCGACCTCAAACTCCGTTTTCTACAAAAACACTTCAGAGGCTGTGCTAACCGTGATAGAATTTCTAATCTCAATAAAGCAACTTTTACATTTACGCCTTTACTTGACTAGATCTATACTGACGTTTTTGGTGGAAATTTGATGGAAAAAGTCTTCTTTTTAAACACATTCAACACAGTAGACTATGCTCTAAACCTTTGGCCTCAAACCCATTCTTCGATTCCATAAACTCACGGGTTCCATTGAACTGAAACATTGTTCATTCTTTTGTGCCGATCTTTCCCTCTCCAGCCACAAACCAAGTATACCGTACTAGTACCGTTGCTGTTGCCGTCATTGTTGCCAGAAGAGACAATAAGTTAAATATTTTCACCACCAAGACAAGCAAGGATTACAACAAGATGTGCCTAGGAGGAATGACCGCTACCAGCACCAACAACGCCGAAGGCCAACAGCCCCCCAAGACCATGGATGAGATTGAGCAAGAGGTATGGGAACAGATGACACCTGCCGCCTGGCACGAAAGTGTGGCCAAGAAGGGGTCGATCTTCTGTGAGACCTACGAGGAAACGAGGCGTCAGATTGCCGAAGTCGCTGTCCGTGGAAACCATGACTGCATCCTCGAAGTCGGGTCTGGCACCGGTGATATCATCGGATTGGTCGACCAGAATGCCGATGCCAGCATTGCCGACCGTTTGGCAGAGATTCCTCGTTTTGGCTTGGACATCAACCCTGATTTCGTCGAGTTCAGCAAGAGTACTCACAACACGGAAGGTCGCTGCACCTTTCTTGTCCAGGACGTCACTGTCATGCTCGACGAGTTCTGGTTAAAGAATGGTTATGACCAGCAGTTCCAACGTCCTTTGGTTGTTTGTGTGAATAACACTCTCAACATCATGCCAGAGAAGCTGCGTGGAGCTACAGTTGCTCAGATGCTCGCCATTGCAGGAGACGAAGGTCGCTGTGGAGTCTCTTATTGGAATGGAAACTTCTTCAGTCATGCTGTCATGAACTACTACAAGAAAAATGGCAACCTCTGTGGAAAGTTTGATGTCAACAAGCACGTCAACTGGGAAGAACGTCACCTCATGACTCCTACCAACTACTCCACCATCTGGCATTACCCTGCAGAAGTCCAACAGCTTCTCAGGAGCTTTGATGTTGACGTGGACGTCATCACTGATGCAGATGAAGGTCTTCGAATCGGAGAAGACCATATGAACCTGGGAGGATTGGCCATCTTTGCATGGTTTTCTTCAGAGTGCACATCTCGTGCGAAGGGATACTACGATTCCGATGACGCCCAAAAGTTCTACAACAATATTTGGGGAGAAGAAACCATCCACATTGGACGCTATGATATGCTTACTTCAGACGACAAGTCCAGCCTGAGCAACCACCAACTGATCTCCAAGGCGCAAGAGTACCACGAAGCCGACTTTATCAAACTCATCCAGTCCAAGTTCCAAGACAGCAGCAAGGTGCGCATCCTTGATATGGGATGTGGCTACGGAGGACTGTTGCGACGACTAGTGGAATCAGGGCTGGTTTGGAGTGCCACTGGTTGCGACATCTCGGTGAAGATGTGCCATCAGGCACGTCGTCTGAACGAAGAACACAAGTCGGCCGACGTCATCGCGATCCTCGAAGAATCATACCTTGATACCAGCGTCAAAGACGAGAGCGTCGATCTGGTCATCAGTATGGATGCCCTACTGCATGTTGGTCCAGAAGGACAACGTAAAGCCATGAAGGAGGCTTCACGTGTGCTGCGGCCTGGAGGCTGGATGATTTTCAGCGACATTATGCAACAGGAGAATGCCGACCCCGAAGAGATGCAACCCATCTACAACCGCATCCATCTGAGCAAAATGGGATCGGTTTCTAATTACCGCGATGCCATGGAAGCGGTCGGATTTCGCAACTTTGATTTCCTACAGGCCGACTCGTCCAATGTAAGCAGCCATTACGGAACTGTCTGTAAGGTACTAGAAGAGAAGGGGGACGAGATTGGCATCAGTCAAGAGTATCAGCAAAACATGAAGGCCGGACTCTGTACCTGGAGGGATTTGGCCGCTAAAAACATTGTTTGGGGCTTTGTCCTCGCGCAGAAGACTGTCAAGGTTGATTTGGACGACGCTTCGCTCTGAGTGTGATAGTTCTATTGGCTCACCGAAGCCCAGCAATTGCTGGGCGTTTGTGTGGATTGTACAGGATTAACCAAAGGCTATCCCGGTGTACGTCCACTTTGCTGACAGTACTGCTTGCTCGGTAGTTTGCGAGTGGCTCTTCCGTGGGCTTCCTTCGCAAGCAAAGAATCAATTGACTCGTTTGCACACTTTTTAAAATAACCCCTTTGCTTGCACACCCACTACAACTGCTCGTTTTGCCGTCTCAACCATTTAGTGCTGGCATTACATGAAAACTAGTAGAGATCTTGCAGAGTTGGTCTGCTTTGAGGCACCCCGATAGCTATCTAGCTAGAGCTATGTCGTACTAATAGCTAGTGGCTGGCTTGGCGGCCAAGCTAACAGGTTCGGGTGGTGGCTGGTTCTGGCAGTTGGGGATACAACTCTTGCTACTACCGTAGAGCAGTCAAGAACAGAAACAGATACTTTCACAGGCCCAGGCTTCAGGGGGTTAGGGGATGAGCTCGTGCCAGAACTCTAGAGGTGCAGAGGAACAGGGCAATCTGGAGTTTGGCGTGGGGAATTGGGAAGCAGATGGCTGGACTAGAACTAGCTAGAGCAGGTGGCACAGGGAGATGAGCGAGCTGCCTGATGCAAATAATGGTCCAGAAATTGGGCGGCACTGGGGGATAAAATTGGGACTCTCTTCGGAGACTCACACAGGCCCAGACATGAGGGTGCTACTAGGGGATGAGCTGGGGTGGGAGCCATTATGGTCTGGCAAGGGATTTGGCACAAAGAGGAAGAAGGGCCAGAACCTGGACCTGGCTGCCACTGAGACAAGAGGAAAGGAGGGCACTTGATGGTGCACTGGGCGCTTCTGCTTACTCTGGGTAGCTCTCTTTAACCACGCGAAGAGTGTTATGGCGTCATAATACCGGTACGGAGTTGCTGTCTTGATTGCCGAATCTTTTGTGGCGACCGGATCTTTCATGTGGTGCTGGGAAAATGCCCGAACCCTTTCCGAGAAGAGAAACGTCCAAAGGAAGCCGATATGTGCTGAGAAAGAGTTCTTGGTCTTCGTCAAGTAAGTTTGCCTCTGCTTTACGTTACGGTACGGTGCCATACTAGTACTGGTGCTGTTGGTACTGTGTTTGGAGCCCTCCTTGTCGTCTTGGAGCCATGATCTGATTACCCTGCTTTCTGACTTGGCAATCATTGTGAATTCCAAGCAACGCCGCGGCAAACAACATCTTTTATTCAGAGTGGATTACGGGTATCAGAGAATGACAACCTGGAACCAGCAATGCAGGCGAAAACGGGGAGAGTTTGAAACGTCGCGACTTCCCCATCCCCAGTCCCCGAGAGGCTCGCAGGACCAAGCCATTTCTCCATGCGATTCTCACAGCGTCACGAAGAAAAAGAGCAAGAACAGAAGGCTTCGACGTAGACCTTCCCATCATCGTTGTGAACGCTCGGGCTCTCGAACTGGCGGACGTGGTAGTGGCAAGGGTCATCTCAAGGTCCATCCGACCGGTTGCGGCAGAATGGAGAAACCCTCTCGAGGACAGAGTTCCAACAGTTCATGGATTCAGAAACATAACCAACGACGAGCACAGCTTGACAAAGAACTTGACAAAACAGTGCAGGAAAGATATCAACATCATCTCCGATTGCAAGAATCGGTTGAATCATCATTTGAGCATCCGAGGATTTTATGCTGTGAAAGCTTATCTCTACATGTTTCTCGGCAGACAACACGACCATGGATTTGGGTGGTGGCTACCGACTTGGAGATCCAACCGTAAAAACAACGGAGCCAAGCCGAAGTTCGACTAATCAAGACTTATTACGATGACAGCTGCAACTACTACAACAAGATGTCGATTCAACCAACATGACGAAAACAGCGACATCTTGTCACTGCTCATCGTGTCGACTGAGGCCGGTCTCTACCAGAGCGACTAAGGCAGTGTTTCAACTACTTTCGAAGAATCGCACTCTTGGACTTTGGGAGGCCATTCCCACTAGGCTCTTGTTGGGTGCACACCGGGAGAGTCTTTCAACTACTTAGCCCAACTTTCCCACTTTAGGACTCCCGCAAGAGCCAAATGCCAATGGACTTCCAACCAAACACCGATGACAGGTTGCGAGAGGAGCCAAAACCAGCTGGTGGTTGGCAATCACGAGGTGAACCTCCCGGGACTCGCTAGAACGAGGTAGACGTAGAATCCCTTTTAATTTTTAGCTTATTCTTTTTGTGTCATCCCATGTTACATCGTACTGCACATCGCCTCCGTTCGCAGGTTATAGCCCAACTCGTTCGTCACACTTGCACCCAAGCCGAGACTAGGTGGAGGTTGTTTACCTCACGTAATTGGCTAGCGGAGTGAGTTTGATGCGATGTTGCGTTCGAAAAAACGATGGTTGACCTCTCTCGTATGGTCGGACGATGAGAGTGGATCATTAGACAAGAGAAACTTTTCAGTCTACATCATATTAGTCATTCTCCTTCTCTCTGACATGTCAAGCCCATGGCGACATAGCATACAATCTACTCCGCCAGGTAAGTGCGCACTCGATGCCTCCGATCCAATTTTACCGATAGATCAGCTGACTTCACTTCTAGGCAATCAAGCTATCAACACCCAACCACACAGTGAAAACAGCGTGACAAATCTTTATTCATTTCAGCGAAACCAGTCGCACCACGTTTCATAATCTGTCATGTTGATCGTTAAGTTAATCCCACGTCTTTCATTTACATCCGCGCCCCGCTCACATCTCGCTGTGATTTTCACTTAGATGACATATACCCGAAAATCAAAAATCGTGAGGGCCCTCTCTACTCATCTGGTGGATAAGATAAAATATCATTATATGCACGGTTTCAATTCCCTAAATCCCTGCCGGCAGCAATTGGGGATTTCACACAACTCCAATCACACGTGTGTTTTTCATGTGTCTACGGTACCGTCCCTTAATTAATTCAAATCGAATCTTACCACGAAAACTTGCGATTACTAGCGAAAGTATCGTGCACGAATTCCGCTGGCAAAGTCCCTCTGGTCCATATCGAGTGAACTGAAGTGTTACTGTATTCACTATAGGATTAATAGCAGGCAGGCTACTACTATCTCCGGCTCAGTCGTATCACGAATACACTCAGGCGAAGACATCGCCTCGCTTTTCTATATATTCTTTCTTTGGCATTGAAAATGTATATATGCAGACCATTCCGTATCGGGCATCGAATCATGCTTGAAACAGTCACAAAGATGTTCAGAAAACCTCAAAACATCCCTCATCTCTACCTTCAGCCACCCATCAGCACTCTCCTGCCACGTAAGTATTTCTTTTACTTGCTTCTGTTTGACAATGTTTGCTTTCAACATGGCACTCACTCCTCTTTCGGACTTCAAGGTTTTTCAGACTCTCTCACCATGTCTTCCCAAAACCCGACATCAACACTGAACCGTCGTCGGGCAATGCGAACCCTATTTCCGCGGGTATAACAGCAAGAGAAAAAGGACCGCGGCAACAAAGCAGAGGTCCTTTCACTCTGGTGAGTTCCAACGCTGTTAGAATCAGCATGCAACGCTCAAGGAAGAGAGAATACCCCGTTCCGCGGAATGTTCACTCTAAGTTCAGAGCTTTGGTTGAAAGAAAGCTACGCGGTGTATGTACATTACCGACTGCAATATAATGACCACTCCTGTCAACGGGCGTTAAACCAAAGACAATGATGGCTTTTGTTCAAGCCTCGCTGACAAGCACATGAATGCGAGTGGGTATTTCATAATTTGGTGGACTCGCATTCTGTGATGGGGAAAAGGATCCTTATGTACGAGGCCACCGTAAAGGTACTTTGGCTGTATTGCCAAGGAGGCTTTGTTATCATTGTCCCCAGAGGTGAACTGTGACGGACAAACTGCGTGAAGGCGTTTGTTTCCCCAGATCCCAGACCCCAGAAATGGGCCTGTGAAGTGGGTTCATCGTGAACCTTTAAACCGGCTAGGCATGCAATACGTGGTACGACCGCGGCAAAGAAGGATGAACCCTACCTAGTTCTCACAGGCAAGTGACATATGACCGGATACGACACTGAACTATACTCATTGTGGGTTCATTGGCATAGATTCCAAGCGAATACTGCACTGTTCGAAGCTTCCTCAGTCGCTTCACATCTGTGTATCGATAGCGATAGGTATTTGTCGACAAGCTGAAATGGCATGTGGTCAACTCCCGCGTCACGTCTTACGTCCGTTGATTTCACCGAAACAACCTTGGATGCATCGGACTTCGGTCGCATGCGGGCCATCACTGGTGCCCGTCGCAACATTATTACGAGCCACTACGCACGCACACCATCCCCCGCCCCACCTCTACTCCACAGTTCGCCTTCAAGCTGCCACTGGCCCTTCCCCATGGTTTTGCACTACCCCCCGGCATGAACTTTGAGGCCTTTTTGGGAACTCTTCTCGAAAAGCAACAGCAGGAGAACGGTGGTAAGTCTCCTACAGTAGCTTCCCGTATAAATCCCCGTGCCCTCACTTTCAAATCTCAATACTGGACCTCCCAAAATTATTCGCAAACCATTCCAGTTCCAATGCACCAAAAACGTCATCTCCCGTCCACTGTTCCACGAACCACGTCGGCCCAAGTGTCACCTGCGAATAATCAGAATGATGACACATCCACAGGTATGAAGAAAACTGCCGAACTTCGCTCACGAATCCTATTACCGAATACCCAGTACCGACGAAGAGCGGGAAACAGAGGAAAAAGAAGACACAACCTCCCAGCGGAAGCGAGCAACCCTCCACTTAAACTTATCACACAAAACTTTACAACCTCACATAAACACGTTGACTTCAAATTTGCAAAACCTAAACCCTAAATATAAGCCACATGATTCATTCGATTCTATTCACCATTATCCTGTATTAGTAGACAAGTTAAACTAGTACTGGAAACGGAGACGACCCAGGGGGCATATGAATAATAATGGTTGATGTTTCCCTCTTTCTGGGTGGTTTGGTTTGTTGATCAGGCAAAGTTTCCGCAGCCTCAACTGGCTTACTTCTGGTTGTTTTCGAAAGTCGCGCCATCCCCATGTCCGCTGCTACCGTACCGGTGGCAACATCGATGAAGCCACGTGTACTAGCTAGCTAGTAGAGCACTCTCCTTGCAAGCTCAACGGTCTTCACAAGTCTGCGAGGAGGAAGAACACATTCAGCTACCGTTACTGAAGCTTGAAGGATAGATAATCAGACTGCATGCCTGGCCGCCTCATTAGCTGACCGCAGAAGGGATCTTTGGACCTTGGATCGCAATCAGGAATGCCTTTCTCGATTGCGGGATGGCCGCTCTGGCTCCTATGTCCGTGGCTGTGGTTCTTCCTGGCTACTGTCCCTTTAACAAGTGATGCTCAGAGACTGAAGCAAGGCTGCTTTGATGCATTTCCAGAGGATCTTCGGTGTGGAATCAAACGTTTTCTCCCTCCGGAACCGCCTGATCCAGCTGCCCTGGTTACTGCAAGTGGAGCCAGCTTTTCCATTGAACAGGTCTGTCTTTGGCTGTCCCTAGAAGTTTTTCCTTTCTCCCCAGACTTTCTGAATACCTCCAAGCATCCAGAACACTTGAACACTCTAGAAAGTTCTAGTGAGGAGTGTCAAAAGGCAAAAATTGCCTACCCGCATTGCCTATTTTGCAGCTCCTCTAAACGTCCACCAAGAGAAAGCTTCGATCCGAGTCTCTACTACACCTTTGGCATTGGTCTCTTCTTTCAATGCGGGATCGATGCGGATATTACGACATGCGGAGGAAAATTGTCGCGGGAAGATGCTGTGATGAATCAAAATCCACCCTATCATCGGTTGCAATCTGATCAAGACATTGATAGGACATGCCAAGAGCTCCAGACTACTTTGGTTGACACTCCCAGAAGCGTCATTCCTGGTCTTGGACACAATCTACCCGCATCGCAAGACTTGTGTATTCGGCAACACCTCGTGGCACATTTGTGTCCCGAAAATTGTCAAGGAGGATGTTTGGATGAAGTACGGTATCCACCAACTTGTTCTCGAGAGTTCAACCCAGCCGAGTGGGGAGATGCTGTGGAAACATTTTACAAAAGAGGTGGCCCGCTTGGGGTCGTTATCCCAGAGAATGAATCACGCCCTCCTCTTCCAACAGGGTATTTGGGAATCAATTACAGTGATCCCGTTTCGGTGTGTCTCGAATTGCGAGCTCTCTTGTTTGGGGACTTTACTACTTTGGAAACGACTCTGAATACATCCCAACATTTGGATTACTTTAACTCAATTGACGAGGAGTCTCAGTGGTGCCCATTGGCACGGCAGGCCTATTCGAGTTGTGCTTGGTGTGCACCAAATCTCTGTTTTGACCCACGACAAGGGCCTTCGTGTAGACCACCATCCATAGAAAACGGCAATCCACAAAATCTCAACAGCACAAACATGATAGAGCTTGTTCTGACACAGCAAAACTACTCCTTTGGAGAATTGGAAGAGATATGCCGTCTCCTGTTTCAGAGCGTTGTCGACACCAGTGGTGTCGAGGGATTTCGGTCCATGGTGCTCGCGGAAGAAAACTGGTTGTGCGATGCGGCCAAAGAAGTCTTGTACTTGTGTCCCCAATCCTGTCGCCCAGATCCAAAAATTGCACCGCCCAACTTTTGCGCCGGACCGAATCATTGCGAGACAAGGCATACCACCGTACTACCTGGCAATTTTCAATCTTACACGTTGGAAGTCTTGGGAATTGAAGATCCGACAGCTACCGGTATTGCAAGCGAGGACTGTGCGATAATCCACCAGACATGGAATCGGACACGGACTATCAGATGGTCATATTTTGGTTGCTTTGAGGATATCTACCTCTCCAACCTCTGTCCCAATGAGTTCTGTCCGGAAGGCAGAGATACCGCAGAAAAGGACTTTGCATACTTGGGAGCCACCACAGAAGGTCAGAAGAAGGCCCTCATTTGGACGGCACGGGTCTCGGCCATTCTCTCGTTTCTGGGAGCATCCTACATTCTATTCGACGTCCTCACAGATCCCAAAACACGTCAAATGGTCTACCATCAACTCTTGGTGGGAATGGCAACCTTTGACATGGTGACAGCCATTGCTTGGAGTTTTGCCACGATACCAATCGACGCGGACAAGGCAGACTATATTCAGCAAGCCTCGGGCAATAGTGCTTCTTGTACAGCCCAGGCTTTCTTCGTCCAGCTTGGAGTTACGAGCATATTCTATTCTACCAGTCTCGCAGTGTACTATGTGCTGGTCATTGTGTACAGTTGGAGAGAGTTCCAGCTGGTCAAGATTCGAAAGTATCTACAAGGGGTTCCACTTGTGTGTGGGATAGGGTTGGCATTGGGGGGTCTGCCAGTCTACAATGTGATGGGCTATGCGTGTCACGTCGAGCCTCTCCCAGACGGGGAAGTCTGGGTAGTACTCGTGTTTGTGGTGTTACCGCTTGGGTTGTCCATCACCGCCATTACTTGTTGCCTTTTGAAGGTGTACTGCAACGTGAGACAACGAGCTACCTCCTCGGCCCAATGGAGTATCTCTGGGAGCGCCAATACACTTGAAAAGCAAGTGTTTTGGCAATGCATAAGTTACATGCTGGCGTTTTATATTTCCTGGCCCATCCTGTTCTCCGTTTACTTGTTTTCGGTGGACGTGAATGGCCCACTTGGTCTGACATTGATAGTTGCCTTCTTGGCTCCATTGCAAGGTTTCATGAATGCCCTGGTGTATCTGCGACCGAAGCTGTTCAACGTGTCCAAGAGAAACAGCGCCAGCAGCAGGCAGTCTTCCTTCGCGGCCATTCTTCGAAAAAGCCTTGGCCGGCGACGAGAGAGTTCATCGCAGAACCCTCGAGACCTTCTCGATCCGTCCGCTCAGATTGCCTTACAAAATCATCTTCCGCATGAAGCAGCGACCGAAAATCCCTCGCCAGACTACAAAAATGAGGTCATCGGAGAACGGGATACAAACTACGATGCAGAACAAAAAGTCGAAACTGACGGGGTCGAGCATTGCAAATTTGGCAAAAATGACGATCCAAAAGATTACCTCTCTGTCAGCCCTTTTCTCCCCGTTGCTCAGATGCACGACGAAGAAGGGGAGAACGATGAAACTGATGTACAGGACCCCAGCCCAAATGGTTCTGCTCAAGGGCTACTACCGGTACAAGAAGTCGAGGAAGAGACCAAGGAGGAAACCTTACAGCCACATCATTTCGAGGAAGACGCTGCATGAGACGCCTTTCAATCAAAACACGAGACATCTCGCGAAGGTGTTGAGGCACACAACAATGAGGGAGGCGAAGACAAGCTGCACCGGTAAGATGATCGCGCAAAAAAGAGACCCGCCATTTCGCCAACGGAGCAAGAATTCACCAAGCTTCCGTCCGGATCGGAACAAGGACCAGATACTAGTAGGCAACGAAACAGTCATTGGGACAATACCAAACTCCGCATCGGTTGTACCAAATGGTTTCAGTCGACTGCAGATGCGACACTCTCGAAGCAGCGTCAGGCTTTTGGGGCATTTTCTCTTTGATTTCCGCCGAGGACCCGCGTAGAATGATTGAATCAATCAATCTTTCATTCAATCGCTCTTCCTGTCTACCGGTAGGTACCGAACGTGATAACGTCACGCATGCTTGAGCAACGTTTGATCCAATACGACATGGAGATACTAGTCGTGACACATGTTACCTCCAGAGGCCACTCGGTAGCCAGAGATGAATTTCCAGACGTATTACGCCGTAGGTCGGGTGTCGCTCGTTGCACCCGACCTGGCTACGGAACGACTGTATCTATGAAACTAACCCAAAGTGGACTGGGTGTATATCATTCACAACACCTCCCTGCGTGCATGACGTACGGAAACCCCGACCTTTGGTTGTTCCTTCCTCTGTAAAGCGCCACTAGCCCACCACTTTTAGCTAGCTAGCTACAGGCGCCGTTACCTGTAGAGGGGAGCTGATGGAGGATGGAGTTCAGCAGATGTTGGTCGGTGGCCTAAGCTTGATATTGGCAGTCACCCCAAAAAAATCCGCCCGGGGAATATGTTTTCTTTCAACCATTCTGCAACATGGGACTCCAGAGGAGATCCGTCCGCTAGCATTTCTGCTATGTCTTCACCAAAGGGACAACCGTTCTCGTGCAAGTATTTGAGTACTTCCAAGTTTTCAGAAGCATTCCATACAGCTGAATTTGCTGTTTGTTCATCCCACGGACAACCATTCTCGTGCAAGTATTTGAGTACCTCAAAATTTTCAGACTCCTCTACCGCGCAAATGGTTGCACCTTCATCCCAAGGACAGCCATTCTCATGCAAATACCTCAGGGCCCCCAATTCACCATGTTCAGCAGCATCAGTAGTTATAGACTTGTCCCATGGACAGCCATGCTGATGAGCATAAGTGAGGATTTCCAGGTGGCCATTGAGAGCAGCACAATAGCAGGTAGATTCATCCCATGGACAGCCATTCTCATGAGCATACTTTAAGATTTGAAATTGCTATTACTGGCAGCACAAGAGCAGGTTTGTTGATTCCATGGGCAGCCATTTTCATGTGCATACTTTAGGACTTCAAAATGGCCCTGATCGGCAGCAAGCATGCAAGTCTCTTCATCCCATTGGCAACCATTCTCATGCAGATATTTGAGGATTTCCAAGTGTCCATTCTCTGCAGCAGCATGACATGACATCCTCATCAAGCGGCAGCCGTTCTCATGCAAATATTTGAGGATTTCCAAGTGTCCATTCTCAGCCGCACCATGACATGTGGATGCCGTACAGGGGCAGCCATTTTCATACATATATTTCAGGATTTCCAGATGGCCGTTACTTGCAGCATGAAAACCAGTCATAACATTCCAGGGACAAAAATTGTCATGGAGATACTGGAGGCATTCCAAATGGCGATTTTCAGCAGCACGTTTGCATGTGAATTCATCCCATGGACAGCCATTTTCATGGGCAAACCTGAGGCACTCCAGATGGCCATTCTCAGCTGCAAACTTGCATGTCGAAACATCCCATGGGCAACCATTTTCATGAAGCCATCGAATCAGATCCAGGCGCAAGCTCTGCTATCCCATGGAAATCCCTGTTTGCGTGCCCATTGGACAACTGCCAAGTTTCCAACTTTTCCAACTTTTGTGAAGACATCACACTGTTCCGGCATTCGGTTCTTGCAAATATCGTTGAGCCAGTGCTCTGCGCATGAAACGCTGGAAAAGGTAGCGCTGTACCGTAGTATGTATCCATGCCTGTTCCTGGACATGTGGTGTCAAACCCAGAAAATCGGCGGGGACTCACTATTACCGAAGGTGCTTCTTCTATGGAGTCGCAATATTTCTTATATAGCTCATTGAATTTCTTGCTGGTAGCTCCCACAAAGGCAAAGTGTCCCATTCCCAGAAAGGGAAAGATGTTGTTGACCCAAGCATCCTCTTGGTTGAGGAAATCAGCAGCGGCAGAGTTTGGAGTTTCAGACTCTGGCTCCCGTTCTCCTTTTGCTTTCTTCAGCGGGCGACGATCGCCACTGTCTTTAGCAGCATTAGACGTGGCGGTTGACATTCTATTATCAGATCGTAGTAGAGAAGGGAAGCCACGCAATGATGCTGATGACAGAAGATGAGAGGGATGTGGAGGTCGCGGGTTTGGGTGCTAGCTATCATAGCTCGAGATCTTCGCTTGAAAAGGATGTCTTCCACGCTAATTTGAGCTTGGATTTGTCTTCCTCGCTGCGCCCTCGCGCGCCTTCCTGCTGGAGCTAATGAGCGTCCGTTTTGCAACACGATGGCAGATTTTTGGTCACGTGGATTTACTCGTGCAGGCCAACCGCACGTGACGGGATTCGTCCCTCAAAGATCGTGTTGAAAAATCAAACTGCTTCGTTCCAAGGGGGAATCTTGATTAGGCTATTGTATTCCGGAAACCTTGCTGTCGGAAGGAGGGAGACAAGCAGATAGTATTGGTACTTACTTGCATTTTGTAGTATACAATGGCTGCCTCCTTTGAGCAGTTGGTGGGAGCTGCCGCCGATGTGCGAGAGCTGGAGTACGTGTCGGCTCTTCATCAGACAGATCTTGAAGAGGTGCGCAAAGATGCCAGCATCCGAGGTGAGTGTGAGGAGAAGATGAGGATGTTCTGTTTTCTTCATTGTGCTGTGCTGTGCTATAGTCAAGGGTAGCATGGTCGGTAGTCTAGTTGTTGGCTGTGATTGCTCTGCTGATCGTTGCTTGATCTCATCTTGATTCTTCTTTTGTTCTTTCAATCGTCCATACCGATTTCAGCCGAAGATATTCGATTGTTCCTGTCGAGTCGGTACGGGATCATGGTGGATGACGAAAAGGTTCGAAAGACCATTTTGAATGGTCTGGGAGGATGCGATGCCGATGCAGAGGACGACGACGGGGTATTGGATCTGATGGAAGTGGTGGCCATGCTACTGATCCCCATCTTTTTAAAGGCTGCTGATACCGATACGCAAGAACTCACCGAAGAGGAATTTCTCGCGGGAATGGTGGTCGATACCGACCAACTCCAAATGTCCATGCATTCCATACACAAGCAAATGAAACGAACCGATGGACTCGTGCCCACACCTGCTGGAATGATGGATTATGTCCTCAAAATGATTTTACATGATGTATGTACTTTTTTTGTTTTTGAAACCGGGCCTGAACTGACCTTACGTGAAGTTTTTGCAATCTCACCTCTGATTTCTAACCAACTTTTTGAATGAACTTGCATTGCAGGTCACGGGAGATTCCAAAGCCAAGCCATTGACACCCGATCTAATCCGGAGAATCTTGGCTGCCTATGGGGAAGTCAACCTTGCCGCCGACAGCGGATTGGTGCAAGAAATGTACCATGCTGCCATGGGCATGGAAGAAACAGCCAACAACAGCGAGGACGACGACGAACAACAACAACCCACCAAAAACGACAACAATACGCCTGACAAAAATACAAGCAATCCGCCCATGTTGAATGTGCTCTCCTTTGCCGAGGCATTAACGCACGACGTTCGACTTTACGACATTCGCAACGAGGCTCGATTGACCACCAACTTTGATGATGTATACTTTACCGATGCCGAATTGAAGGAGCGGGAGGAAGAAGCGACCACCCACGCCGGGAGCCCATCCGAACTATGGAGGGTGAAGGTGGATGCCCAGTCCCTGCGTGACAAATTGGCCGTCAGCGAAGAGTTGGATCGGGTCAATACCTTTCCGGCCATTGATATTACCGCCGGAACCTATCGGTCCAAGGGTTTGATGGTCATGTTGTTTTCCACCATTATGATCACCTACTTTGCGTAAGACAAACGGCTGCTGGTGGACCCTTGTGCGAGCCAAAAGAACACGGGACACACACTCAATAATTCGCCTTGTCTACCTGTGGCTTCAGTTACTTTATTGATTTCAACAGGAACATCGAAGAGACGTGTAATGAGGAAGAGGGCGTCGCCTATGAATGGAACTCACCCTGGACGGAAAATGTGAGTTCGGAGGAAGTGACATTGGTAATCAGCACCATCCAATGCTGATCTCATTGTTTGTCGTCATCTCTACCGTACAGGCCGACGCAATGTTTTGCGAAGCTTTTGTCAGCGTTGCCAACTGGCTCGTCTTCTTTGCTGGCATGAGTATTTTCGGTGTAATCAATGTGTCCATGGGTAGCGTTGGCAACAGTGTGAATTGTAAGTATATCTGTGATCACTGTCATTGTTTGGACTGGACCTTACCTTACCAGGCAGTCTCGTTCTCCTGTGCATCGAACAGCCAATTCAGGATGGAAGTCGTTGATTGGCTTCACGTGGGTGTTGCTGCTGGTCACCATTCCCCTTGTTGGATCAAGGAACAATCGCAAGGAAAACAACGTACTCTATGCCGCTTCGTTGATTTTTGGACTTATCACATGTGTCTTTCACCTGAGTAATGCATTTGCCTTGAGCTTTGCAACAGACTGCTTTGAAAAACTCCGTCAATCGTTCCCTCAAAATCCCATCCTCAAGAGCAGCATCAGCGAAGAGCAGGCCGTGAAACAGGCCACTGCTATGAAATTGTCTCGCATGACAAAGAATGCACTGGAAATCTGCACGTCCAAGGACCTAGATTCAATCCTCAACAGTCATTATGGTCAAGCACTGAAGCAGTATGAAACGGAAGGAAAGAAGTTTAAAAGGGCAGGAGGCTTCATTTGGTGTTGGAGGCAGTTGTTCGGGACGAATCAAATTTTCCAGAAGCATGGCATTTGGGTGCCAGCGAGAATGATATCTTCCAACCTTGCTCAGTATGTGGTGACATTCTACGTTCTCTTTGGAGGCATTTTTCTGACTCTGCACGTCGCAGAGGAGTACGATATTGAGTGGGCCAAACGACAAGTAGACCACTACATTAATCGGGCCTTCGAGGTCGACCCACAGGGCGAAGCGGTTGAGACAGCCATTGCAAACATGACTCCTTTGGTATCAAACTACTTGAAAACTCTCGACGCTTCCAGTGGAATTGATTTTGGCTGCAGCAATGCCTCGCTTGCTCCAGCAGAAGACCTCTTTAACAAGTACTGTCCGGGGACTGGGAATATGTCACTGTGTGACTTCAAGGGCACGGATGTGAGCTACCTGTGCCCCCTGGTGGAATCCGCTCAGTCAGGCTCACTGAATGCGACCAGTCAACTCGCGCTTTTGAATGCGTCTGGTTTTGAGGGCGATATATGGCGCACGACTGCGTACAACGCGGCACAAGGCGCGGCCAACGAAGGTGTTGACAGCCTCTATCCTTCGTAAGTAAGGTTCGTATTTCTAGCACGCCCACACCGTCCCGACTTACACGAGGATTGCCCTTCTTTCGCCCAGAGAAAAGTACATGATCACTGCACCACTGTATCTTGGGACGATCATTGCCTTCTTCACGGCACTTAGTTTGGCTGTTGTCTTTATCCCTTCAGTTGTCACGACGATTCTCAGACTGCGATCGGGTGACATTGCTACCCTGCGCAACAAAGATTTCAACCGCTATCGCCACGCCCCAGATCAGGTAAACAGTTCTTTGTGTCCGCATATTGTTGTTTCGTCATGCCGCCACCCGCATTTCTCATGTGCTCCTACCCCAGGTCGCTTTGTTGACTGGTAGTTTGTTCTGGGGAAGCTTGTTTTCGAGCGTCCTCGTTGGTGGCGCGTTTGGTTTGGTCCTCTTCTTTTTTGTAAGCCCCCTAGCGCGTCGAACATACTTGTCTCCACGTTTGTTTTGGTGTCTGACTTGGTTGCTCTTTGCGTAGTTGTGGCAAGCAAGCGCTTACTACGCACAGCGGCTGGTAGCTATCCTCTGCGGCATTATATCAGTGGCGCTCGTGCGTCTCGCATTCGTATGCACCTGCCGTTGCACGATGTACAAGTCATTTTACCGAACCAAACCAGGACCTGCGAACATAAGCATCCTTGCATTGGAATGGGGGAACTTTGCATTGTCCGCCGGATACATCCTTGTGCGTGCTTTGAAGCTGCTTCTGGCTTCTGCCACTTTCATAGGTAGAGTGGATACACCTTTTCTTGCACACAATGTGGGGAGAATTGGGCCGTTGGAACTTGACAACTATCCTGTCGTGCACATGAAAGAAGTGTTGAGTCATGAGGTTAGTTTGAATAGTTCAGTTGGCGATTTTTTGTCATTGCTGCTTCTGAATCGAATTCAATCTCGGCATGGTGCTACCGCAGGCGCACAGGCATCCTTACATCGAGCAACTTGGAGTAATCTATCTCATGAAGTTGGTGAGTTTGGAAAGGTCCTGGCTACGTTTCAAAAACATCTGTACCTCACATGCCTTTTCCACCTGCAATACCCAGCGATATGCCAATCACTTCGGAAAGAGAGCTGGCACTTGTTGGCGTTTAATATTCGTCTACGCTCTGATGCCGTAAGTGCGTCGCGTCTACATCTCTCGTCGTTGTCCAAAGGAAGCTGACACATTTTCCGCCATCTGCCCATGCGTAGTTGGCTGCAAAAGTACCGCATTTTGGCCCGCGAGGAGGATGCATCGGCAACCGCCGAAAATATCGAAGATCTGGAGGAACAGTTTCCAGATTTGAACTTTGTGAGTTTGCGACACATACAGTCAACATTCAGATATATATACTGGGGGGGATTCAGGAATTCAGTAAATATAACAGCGAGAATAAATATTGATTTTATCCCTAACCCTAACTATTCCTGTAGAATTGTACGTGCTCTAGTACTAAAATAGGGTTAGAGTTAAAAATGTGGGAACTGGAGTATTCTTAAATATTATAGAGCGAATAAATACAAGATTATAAATATAAGCGAGCGTTGACTTGTAAAGGCAAACGTCGACACCTCTGCAAGAGGACTTCGATCAAGTATTATGAGATCGAGCGTTAACGAAGACGACAAAAGGCGTATTATGGAGCTAGAAGCAGAGGTGCAACGATTGCGAGAAGAGCTGGCAAAGGTGAACGAGGCCCCGTCTGTTGTCGTTGCCTCTGAACCCAACAGCGACGATTCTGAGCCCGAGGCAGCGGCAGCGATCGCGGGCAACGAGCACTGTAAGTACTGTTCGGGAATAGAGTGGCTTCCTTTTTGTACCTGTGCCTGCCTAACACTTTCTCTTTCCCGTCTCGTTGTTGCTTGCGTACAGCTCCCCTTTTGGGCACGTTGACGGTTGATGAACCTGCTTCCTCGACATCCGATGGGCCTCATGTCACGTTCGAGGAAAGCTCCCCAAGTCATGTCCAACCACCAAGCCAATTCTTGGCACCAGATGACCAAAAGTCTCAACCGCCAAGCCAATTTCTAGCACCAGGCGATCAAATCTTGTCTGAAATTTCGGAACGCACGGAAGTTTCCTGTTGATGCAGCTTGTGTGACAATTGGATTTTTGTTCACCTTCTTTTCCATATGGCACCACTATTGTTGTCTCTATCCCGGAGCTACCCCGACTGCGGGATATCCCAACTTGGGACCCTATCGTTTGATACAGATTCAAATCGTGGGCAACTGTTTGGTTGATTCATTGAAGGAAACCCTACAGAATTGCTTTGACGATCTGCTCCATCTCTGTCTCCTCCTTCAGATGGCTCTCGCTGCATTGCATCCTCTTGTACTGGTATTGACAGCCAATCTTGTAGAAAGGCAGCGCACTATGATGTGCAGGATGCCCAGTGGACTGCACGCACAATCAACATCGTTGGGGAATGCATTGGGTTTTGGACGCCCTGGAGTCTACTTGAGACCCGAGTAATGAAATTGGCTGCTGGAAAAGTCTTGACGAATATACTCCCGCCAATGTTGACGCCCAAGCACTGCCTCTGATGCTCCCAACTGTGTCTGTCACCCACTGCCTCTCAAGTGGGCATCCATATTACCAGGAACTTTTCTTCCTCAGGTCCTGCAGCCAGGTCCGGGGATATGAACAAGTTTTAAAGTGCTGATCGTTTGTGGCAACATGACAGCGCATCTGATGCTGGGCGGAAGTGTCCAGGTTATGGTCTGAGCTGAAGTGTCCAGGTTTGACTTGACATTACACGGGCCAAACATAGCTTCATTTTTGTCATGAGATAATCCCCGTATCTGCCTAGCTAGCTAGTGCGATATTTATTACTACCCTGCCTCCTCGAGCGCTTCGGCATCTGGAAGGTGATCCAGGACATCCTTCCAAGACTTGGTGCGGGTGGTCAGTGTCTCGACGATCAGGGGCAACGGATCGATGTAGACGCGGGGAAAATCTGCTTCCCCAATGTCTGTTCGGATGGGAAATGCCAATACTTCGTGTGGTGGATCAAAGACCGCCTGTTGAATGGTTGGCTTGAGACCTCGAGGGTCGACTCGAAACCACTCTTTGGTTTCCGGCAAGTAGACGGCATTCAATCCATGCAGACAATACGGTGGTCCACTGTCGTCATCGGCAATGGTCAATCGCTGGTAGCAGAGACCCGTAGGAATCCCATTGGCTCGCAAGAGTGATGCCAGCAGGTGACTCTTGGCGTAGCAGTATCCCGTCTTGTGTTGCAGGACATTCGATGCCTTGCAGGTGACGGGATCTTGTTGATAATCGCTACTGTGCATGATTTCGTCTCGAACAAACTCAAAGCAGGATCGAATAATGCCGTGGTTGTCACTTGCTTTGACCGCCAATTCAGCAGCCTTGGCTTGAATCTCCGGATGCTCAAAGTCGATCCATTGGGACGGCTTTAGGTACAGCGATGGATCGGCAGCAATCAGTGTGGGAGGTGGCGACACCGTCATGGCCAAAGCTGGCGACAAGGAAACTATACCAAGTGAGAGCGCAATAACCACCCTCCTTGACATGGCGAGCGCTAGCTGGAGCATCTTGATCCTCTTCTACAGTAAGTGATAGCAAGTCAGATGGGCGTACTGTACATGCCACCAAGCCCAACTCGTCAAAGCTTTGACAACAACGTCGGAACGCCTCGGTGATCAGAGGGCAGGGCAGGATGCCCGAAAGCTTGCAGAGCTGGATGAGTCTTTTAACCTTCCCGAGAGATCAAACTGCTTTCTATTCACGATGGTCCACACAAGGACTGGTTTGTACCAGACCTGATAACATTCGGTAACATTCCAAGTGGGAGGATGCTGGCGAGCCGTACAGTAGGCAACAAGGGGGAAGCACGCAGCGACAATGCTGAGTGATTGGTAAATCCTGGCGAGGTGATTGTCGGACGGGAGGAGTAACAGTCCAAAGCAACTCCGAGGTTCTGGTGCTCTATGGGGTGATACTGGTTCCTGAGCGTACCGGTATGTGAAAATGACAGTTGTTACCATATGACATTCTGGGATTTGTCTCAAGGTGCAATAATGGGCCGGCCTCTAAGATCCCTTCTGCTATCAGGCATGACAGGAGCAGAAGAATTGGATTCATTCTCATAAGGTCAGCGGGATCATACTGCAGCTGTGGGGCAGAAATGGCCAGACAACAATAGCAGCTTCCTTCTAAGAAAATAATTACCATAGCATTAAAAAAAATGGATCCCACAGCTAGCCAGATACCAGCCAGGCAGTACTATTAATAGCTAGTAGGGCAGAAGCATATTCATAAGTGTCTCTTGGAAAAGGATCCTGTACCAGTACCGGTTCCGACTGATGAGTCTTGCACCCCAGAAACTCAGATTTTCATGTGAAGCTCTTGGCACCGCTCTTCTTGGCTGTACTCCCATCTTGGATTTTTTGTTTTCGTGATTATTTTATAAGCTAATCAAAACAATCTGTCAATGAGCGGAAGAGGTCGAGGTGGTCGTGGTGGCAGAGGTCGGGGTAGATCAAAAGGGAGAGGACGTGGACGTGGAAGAGGCCAGAAAAGAAGTACATGTACTAGTATGCTCCCGCGGCGCTACAGTCCCAGGCATAACCGTCGAAACTTCATTCTCTCTTGCGAAAATGGCAATGCCAATGATCTGAGAACACTCATCAATCAGCATGGGTGCAGTCCCAACTTGTTTGGATCAAAGGAGGCCACGCGAGTGTCACCAGGAGACCCTCTGGGATACTATGTTTTCAAGCACCATCGAAAAGTCAAGAAAGGTCGCTGTCCTCGAATAATCGTGTCAACAGATCGAACACCACTTCACATTTGTATAAGGAAAGGACGTGCGGGTTGTGCAAGGCTGCTGGTCGAAGCTGGGGCGAGTCTGGATGAGCCGGGAAAGAATGGACATTCAGCTACTCACCTAATGGGGTCCATGAGACCTACCTGGAGTAAGTGGTGGCCCCAGACACAGACGCGACTGTCCAGGGCTGAGCAAATGGATGTGACCGACTTTCAGATGGATGCAGAAGCAGATGATGATGATGAGTCCACAAACTCAGACGACATGGATTCAATTGGCGAGGAAGCAGAGAGCCATTCTCAGCTGGATGCAGAAGTCAGAGAATACGAAGAATAGAATCGAATAGCATGGATTCAGTTGAAATAATCCCTATGGTACTATGTAGCTGCAAATGCTTTCTGTTGTGCTAAATTGCAACTGACTAGTTTGTCCCCCATTGATCCAGATGATTGTTCGTATCACATCGACGATCATTAGGAATCCTCTTGAATCAGACTTTGAATGTCCTGGACCATGGCTTGTCGCATCTTGGAAAAGAAGGAGGGTGATGTGGCCACTGTTTGTCGGACTATGTCTTCCAAAGTATCCTTTCGAAACTTGTTTTCTTCTCCAGAGGAAAAGGCCATGGCCAGTGCTCTTGCCGTGGCCAATGTATGCAGTCCACAGTCATAACCATTTTGTTGCTGGGGTGCCGTGCACTCTTCCATGGGATGTTTCGGATGGTGGTTCATGACTCGTTGGATCTTTTGTGCGACAGCCAAGGCGGCCCGTTGGTTGGATCCGGCAGAAGAATCAAAATGCCAAAATTGGCTGCCGTCTTTCTTCTTTTCCATCGCTAACAGAAGCAAACTCCAATGAGTGCCTCCTCCCGGGTTGGTCCAATTCTGACTCACGTAGTTGTCGTTGATGGGTAGAAATAAAAAGAGGGTGCTTCCATCGTCTTGTGGCCGCTTTAGTCCCAAAACATCTTCATCGCCATCTTCTTCTTCGTCCCATTGATGCATGAAAAAGGACAAGACCGAGGGATCGACAAACCGACACCTGGAGGCAAATTCCTTTCCCAGTCGAGTCAAGACAAAGTTCATGCACGCATCATTCAACCAGACACGGGGAGACTCAAGGATGTTCAAGTCAGATTGGTACAGGACCGCATCGTGGTAGTTCAAAAGCAAAGGGTTGCTCATAGTCTCGGCGATGGTGAGAAGATGTGGCATGTGGAGCTCATGCGGCATGTGGCTTGGTGGCGATTGAAAGCGGAAAGATTCTATTCGAATCTTCCCTGAATCGAATCGAATCGAATAAATCCAAGAGTCGAATTAACTTTAACCCAGCTGAGCTGTACTATTGTAACGGTACCTGTTGGCATATCTTCATGGGTGAACCTCCCCTCCAACCTCCACCTCTCCATTTGGAAAAGCTAGGTTCCAGGTTCCAGGCAAAGGCAATGGCTCTGGGTATACCAAAGAGGCCTGCTGCATGAAGCACAAACAGACCTACTTCCATCCACGTATAATTGAGGCTCGGGGCCTGTGTTCCATCCACGTATAATTGAGGCTCGGGGCCTGTGCACAAACTAGCTAGGATGAGAATGTACGCAGCAGTGACCAAATGATTGCAAGGTGGATCCTGGAACGATGCAGCCAAGCAGCCAAAGATGGCTATGTAATTTACCATCCCTACAAGCTCTCACATGGGCTGGTGGATTGGGATGCTATATTTGATCTAGTGGCCATGGCAGGTGCGAAAGTGACCAAGACGGAAGCACTCTAGCACTCACTTCGCACTTGCCTGCCTCTCAGAACACTTGCACTTGAGCGAGAAGCACCGGATAGTGCAGTACATTGCTAGCAGTGCCAACGAAGTTGTAAGCCCCTGCAGGTTTGCCAATCTTCAGCATTGCGAGTCCTTTGAGTCCCTCGCCGGCAAGCGACGATGGGATAACCCCAAGGCAAAAATGTGCTTTTGTGACGGCCAGATGGTTGTAGGAGACATCGCATCTTTTAGTCGCTACATGTAGCTACCTACATGTTCGTGCGGCAAATCAAAGAAAGTACAATTTCAAACGCAATGTTTAGTTGTTCATGAATAGAATAGATCTTAGTAGAAGGGGATGTGAACAGCGCAGGAGCCCCCAAAAGTAAGGTAGCCCCTCCAACTCGTTGTCAGGTGAACCCAAAGCAAAGCAACCATTTTACGATTGCACTTTGGAACATACACCGTCATTCACGTGTTGCTATTCTCAATTGATCACGGTGCCGATTGTTGTTTGTCGGCAGCCGTAGCCAAACCACGAATAGCCCTGTTCTTTCCTTTCCTACCAAAACCAATTTACTTTTTGTTGTCCGCCGGATTTCTTAGTCCGACCGAGCCCTTCGAGCTGTCATCACGCACACAGATAAGTGCATGCAGGATGACGTACCGCTCGAAGGGCTTAACCTCAGCATCCACCGGCCGCGGCATCCTCGCCACTGGCCTTAGTCACACTCAATGTGACGAGTTCTTCGGACGACGTCGGATGAATACCCACTGTATTGCTGAGTTTTTCAAATGTCAATCCACACTTGATGGCGGCACCATATCCTTGCATGACTTCTCCTGCTTGCGGTCCTAGATAGTGAATGCCCAGTACCTTTTGCGGAGCCTCCTTTTCGGTAATGACCTTGGCAAAGGCAAAGTTTTCAGATCGTCCGTGTGAAATGGACCATTCCAGAGGCAAGAATTCGCGGTGATAGACTTCAATATTGTCGAGGCCAAACTTTTCAATGGCGTCGTCCTCCGAGTAACCGACACAAGAGTACTCAATGGGAGTAAAGACTGTGGTACAGACATTGATGTAATCCATGGGTTCCTTGGATCCACCAAAGAGACGTCGCGCCAACGCAATTCCAGCTTGGATGGCGACGGGTGTCAACTCCGGGGATCCCTGGCAGTAGCGCAATGGGGTTAGTTTCGAACGGGTGTTGGTCAAGCAAAACAATGACGACCGAGCTTGGGATGAGCATCCTTTGACAACTGGCAGCAACGCACACACACTCCTACACACAAAAAATCCTTCCTGTTTGTTGTGAACATCATATACATACCTCCAAGACATCCCCCACGGCATAAATATTCGGTGCCGAGACGGATTGTTCTAGTTTGCCCAAGATCTTTTTGTTTTTGGGATTAATATCCACACCGACATTGTCCAATCCCAATTGTTCGGTATCGGCCGTACGTCCAATGGCCCCCAGCACGGTATCAAATTCTTCGTCGGTGCCATCGGAAAAGGTTACTTTGATTTTTTCTCCAATTTGTTCCAATTTGGCGGGTGTGACTTGTCGCTTGAATTTGACCCCGTGCTTGACCATGTAGGCATCAATCTTGTCGGCACATTCGCGATCGAATCCTCGCAAGAGAATGGATCGTACCGCCACGGTGGTATCAATACCCAGCCCCGCGAGGAACCCGGCGCATTCGAGGGAAATGTAGGACGCTCCGACACAGAGTGTTTTGCCGGGATTCTTTTCCAACGAAAAGACATCGTCACTGCTAATGGCCAATTCACCACCGGGACATGCCAGCGGCGTAGGCCGTCCTCCGACGGCAATCAAGAATCGGGAGGACGTGATTTGACTGAGTTTTCCCTTTTTGTCCTTGACTTCGAGTGTGTGTTTGTCGACGAATCGTCCCAGTTTGTTGAGATAGGTGACATTCTTTTCGCGAAGACGGACGCGGTATTTGAAATTGAGCGATCGAATGTAATTAATGACATTTTCCCGCAGTTCTTCCCACGAGTGTTGAATATCGGGGTGTTGTGGCTCATCACCATTGCCATTGAGTGGCAGATTATTCATTCCAAAACTGGGTCCATCTTCCTGAATACTCTCTTTGAGCATACTGCCAATATGAAACAACTTTTTGGGAATGCATCCGACATTGACACAGGTTCCGCCGAGTCCCCACGTGGTGCCTGCCGGCGATGGTTTGACAAAATCGAGACAGGCGACTTTGGCACCCAAATCGGCCGCTTCTTTGGAGGCGGCCATTCCACCGGATCCACCACCAATCACCACGAGATCGTAATCGTACCCGTGATTGGCCGTGTGACCGTCGTCTAGCATACTATTGCTAGTAGTAGTAGCACCAAGTGTAGTAGGAGTGGAGGGATTCAAAAAGCCACGACACCATTCGAGTGCATCGTCGTGTCCTCCCAAAAAGGATTCCTTATTTTCGGACTCAGTGTCGGAGGAAAACCAACAAAAGGGAGACGACGAATGTTCCTTGGCGCTCGGACTGTCAAACTTGTCGCGAAAGGCATCGTCAATCAAGAATTTGCGATAGGAAGCTCGATCTTCAAATTCGTGTTCTTGGACGCGAATACGAGTTGGAAAGAGGACCGTCAGGGAGCTCACTACTTGGACGACACGGCGATAAAAGCCGCCTATCAAAATAGAAAGAGAGGAGTGAGACAGACCAGTACCTCCTCATCATCTGATTCAATTCAATTCGGTATACTAGCTAGCTAGTTATACACTTACAGCTCTTAAAGCCCGCTACATGGAGCACTGGAGGCGACGCCATGGTGGCCTTCCTCTTCAATTGTTTCTGTCCTACTAAGCTTTCTAAAGAAGTGTGGAGATGGAATGGATCCTCCATGATGAGGGTTTCACGAAGATCCATTGGATCTGGGGTTAACTTGATCCCTAACCTCGGCAGGTAAACTGCCTGAGTTCTCAACCCCTTTAATGCTATTACGTCTCCATGAGACGAAGCTCCTTTTGGTTACCCCCTGAGTTGCACTCCAAAATCGATTTGCCGGCGTTTACTGTGGAAAAAAGAGTAGCCGCACTTCAGTTGCAGAATCAACGGTCATGTGTATCCTTAAGTAACAGGTTCTCTTTCGAAAGATTTAGATCCATTCGTGGAATAAAAGAACCGTTGAAGTTACTAAGGTTAAGGATAAACTGTCAATCGATCGAATGATTCCATTCGATTCAAGGTAGATCTAAGCTCATTATCAAGCCTGTTATTGAAGGTGCAGCGCTGACTTCTCTCCCTCGTTGAATTTCTATGGTATTCAGGAGAGAATTCCAAGCTCGGCCGTCAACAGGTGAGTTGTTCTTTAATTATTCGAATCGATCGGTCGATCGCACCTCTACTAGTATTATCTCTATTGTCAAGCCTCACTCAAGCCGGTCGTCTCCGGTGCAGATTCGAAAGCCATCCCTCATTGAATCCTATGGACCATGGGATGGCAGTCAGTTCTCGGCCCATGACGGCCAAGTTGGTGCAATTTGAAAAGCAAGGGTAAGTCGCTGGTTTTCTTCAGTTCAGCACAGAAAACAAAACCCATATCTATTTGTTGTTTTCTCTGCTGCACTGCCGACGGCCGGTGAACTACCATTGTCGACGGTCGATCGCTCCGGATAAGAAGAGGAAGAGGCTGCCGTTACGGAAGAGGAGGCTCTGTTAACTCCAGCCCTACCAACAGCCTGAACAGAGGAGCCTATCGTCGTCGAGTCATTGAAAGGCAACAGCCACCGGAAGAGGCAACAACACACAAGAGAGTGGATCCTCCTACTGGATTCATCCCTTCTTGTTATTTCCGACTGTTTTGGTGGTGATTCCAATGTCGGTACCCATTTTCCTGTATGTGCAAGTCAAGTACTGTTGCCACTAGCTATACGGCAGCTGGCTACAATGGCTGGATTGACAATATTCGGTTGTGCGTATATTCGTCATAAGGATCCAATGCGAGGTAACCGAGTGCTGCGAGCAAAGTCGAACCTTAGTGTGTTCGGTACTGTTGCCACTGTCACCGATCGATGAACTCTACGATAGCTGGCTACAACGGCTGGATTGACAATGTTCGGTTGTGCATGTATTCGTCATAATGATCCAATGCAAAGTACCGGTAACGGGGTGTAGCCAGTAAAGCCGAACCTGAGTGTGTTCGGTACTGTTGCCACTATCACTGATCGATGTAACTCTACGGCAACTGGCTACAACGGCTGGATTGACAATGTTCGGTTGTGCATGTATTCGTCATAAGGATCCAATGCAAGGTACCGGTAACGGAGTGTAGCCAGTAAAGCGGAACCTGAGTGTGTTCGGTACTGTTGCCACTGTCACGGATCGATGTAACTCTCTGCCTACGGTACCGTAGCTGACTACAATGTCTGGATTGCGAGCAAACTGAGGAAACAGGAGACGAACGCTGAAAAAAAGCCGAATTTCCTATTTCCTATTCCGGTGAAGCCAAAGTATAAAGATAGAGATAGTCATAAGACAACAAAACTGAACAGTGATGGTTCAATACAAGTTAGGGGTAGGAATAAATCATTAATATTTAAGGTTAGTGCAATCATCACAACAGCACAATAAGCCAGCAGGAGCTGTAAAGGTTAGAGTTACAATAAGGGAATGACAGCTGGTAAATTATAGAGTAGCGGGCGGCACCACACGACGTAGTCGGGTGTTGTCGCCAGGGCTAGCTTAATAAAAAGAAGGTTGCAATGAGGGAATGAATGATACCGGGCGGCAACACACGACGTAGTCGGGTGTTGTCGCCAGGGCTAGCTTGAAAGATGGGTGCAATCCGAACATAATCCTCCTTCTTCTATCTGTCTTTCTGCCGAGGTATCGCAGCTCCCGCTGACTTATTAGACTTCGTGGGCAATCTTTTTTTTCATCGCGCCAACTTTCAATAAAATCCACAACCGGACGCGAAATGCTAGCTCTTCCAGCTAGACTCTAGCTACCGGTAGCTAAATGCCTGCCAGAGGTCAAAGCAGGGCGCGGATCCGTAACACCACCAATGACAGTCAAGCACCACCCGATGAGCATGCATGCGCCACTGAGAGGATCGCCGCCATGAAGTGACTCAACCAACTGCTGAGCCGATTCGATTCTGTCATCAATTAGTAATTAATACCACGGCAGGGACGTACCGATCGAATCGATTGCCGGTAGGTATCTCTCTGGGCCAGCCACCATCATTGTCACCTACTTTTTTGTGAGTTCAATACTACACTTCAATTCACAATCAAAAAAACAAACCACCAAGCCCACGACTTGGTACCATCTTGGCGGAAATGCGGCTTCGGCAGACATGCTGCCTCTTCCTTCCTAACGAGCCACCATGGCTTGCAATGCAATGCACTGGAACTCGTGTGAATTTGGTTGGAAGAACGAGAGGAAGGGACACTGGAGTGCGGCAATCCTCCACACACGGCAAATGCCAAGCGCTGCAAATCTTTGGAAAAAGTCGGGAAAGCAGTACGTGTCGGCGGGTGGCTTCTTCTTTCTCGTGGGCATCTTCACAGGACGCCATACAGTACGCTAGTAGCACGAGATGGGTTCAATTTGGACGCCTGAGCGAATGCATGGTGGCGGGGAATTCATGTGGCACAGTGCTGTTCGGCTCGCAGGAGCCATGCTGATATCGACCATATGTATCGATCGCAAAACTACAACCCGCAATACATTTCATTTCCGAAGAGCTTTATTGGCTACCGGTATGCAAAAGCAACGGACATTTGACATCAAGATAGCTGTGGCGGAAGACTTTGTTGCCGACATGAGCAATCTCGAGTGCACTGATACCTTTTTCATGGGGCGCTCTATCTTTCTGCCTTGGTCGCATCGATACCAAGTTCCTACTAGCCCCTGAAACCAACCGGTTGGGCCCTCTGACTCGAGCTTGACAAGTATCCCAGAATACACATGCAGGACATCTTATCACGCAAGGTATACGGTACGTACAGGGCTCCTCGTGACTTCAAGATCTGTGAGATTCATGCAGAGGCGACGGTCATTTCAAACCACTTTGGTATTCCTGCAGGCACATTGGCTCCCATACATCGAGCCACTGGGAATCCTGTATGCCTTGAAGCCTTGTCATGGACCGAGCTTTGGGGACCAGAGCGGGGGCCTGTTGGCGTTTTCTGCTCGTGTCCTGACTCATACCGTGGCTTCACAATCTCACGGTCGCCCGGACGCAAAGTCGCAAAGTCCGGGACGAGAAAGCCCATCGTCAGCTTCATCCGAGACGAGGGTACGAGCACTCATCGTAAGCACCGAACCGCTCGTCCAGCCCTGAAGGCAACGGGCTACGTCCAGCAAAGATGTTGGACTGGTTGATCAGCACTAATCAAATCAGTATCACGACGCTACCATGATGTACGACGAGGGTTGTTCCTTTTACTCACTTGGCTGTAGAGATTACGCAGAAGAGAAGCTGCGGTTGAAGAATCGAATCTATAAATCCATCTGGGTATGACTCCCAAATTGCCAAAGTGAGTGCTGGTATCGTCGATAACCCCTTTATCACGAGTGCCGGGAGCATCCTAGAAGGTGCTTCTGAACTGCTGCGGTAGTTGAGAAGCCTACTGGACGTGAAAGGCTTTAAAGATGAGATCTCCAGGAGGTTTCTGCATGCCATTTCTTTGTTTGTCTGGAGGCTTGGAAGTCCAACCCGATGCTTCCTTTTGTACACCTACAGGTACCGGTAACTAATTAGCTTGCTGATGCAGCAAGCTGGCGGTGAGCACCGTAGCTTTTCGAAATCATACATGGTACATGCATGTGTATGATAGTCTTTATGGGATCTCTATACTGTACCGTGGTACTTTGGTGTTAGAGGGGTGTATCACCGTGTATGGTGTATGGGGGGATGATTGTGTCAGGCTGTTGGAGGTTGAACATTCTCAGAAGCTTCTGGTTTCGCCAGCTGCTTGTAGGTGACGCGCCTTTTGCATCTGTCTTGACTGTGTTTTGTGCTTCTAGATCTGGGAGCATGTTCTGGAGTGATCATGAGCAAGTGCCCAGCGTTCAGTGCCCAACAACGGTAGGTCTCAGCGACTCAGGGACTGGTTCTCAAGCAACGGTTTTTTGATGTCCTTCAAACATTGTTTTCTGATGTCAGAAGTCATTCTGGATTCTGGATATCGGTACAGTACAACTAACTGTACAACTCAACTAGATCTACTTGTTCTCTGCGTCAGTGTAACTGTGTCCTCACTTTGGCGTGAAAGAATAATTTTTGGAAAATGGTCAAAACGAAAATGAATGTGAGTATTCCAACTTGCTGGCAAGAGCAACTCTATTACTTCAGACATTGTCCAAAAAACCAATCAACAAGCGATTTTTCTCTTTTTTTCTCTACTATTTTACCCGAGATGCTTCGATCTGTGGTCATGTACATCGTCATTCATGATGCTTCGAAGAGAGAAGAACGCGGACAAAAGAAACCTGGCAGTGGCGGTTGTTACAAACAGAGCGAACAAAAAGGCTGTCATAGCGGGGGCAGCTTTTCCAACTTCTCTTGAGAAGAGAGCCCAGCACTACCTTTTTGGCCTTTTGGCAGTGATTGCACCTTTAGGTGCTTACCAAAACCAGTGCCTGGTACCTGTAGGTGAAGCGACCCCATCGGTTGCTGAAAACCAGAGCGAGAGCAAGTGGATGGCCGGGTTGGATGGACGCTGCAGGGGCCATCATGAATGAAAAAGCTGGCTGTGGCAAGAGTAGCTTCATTGAACCAAGCAAAGCCTCTCTGGTGGCGGCACTCCTCCTGATTGCAGTTGAGACGAATCAGCACAGGATTGGAACCCCAAAGTCTTGGGCTGCTGATATGAAGCAAAGATCACTAAAATGCATTTCAAAAGCAAGCAACACGTACAAAATAGGCTGTAGGAACTTGATAAAATGTATGATGAAAGCATATCTAGTGTAATGTTACCAATTTCATGTACTATGTATGTAGTGGTTGCCTTTCTTACTTCATGGGTTCATTTGGTTTCTCTTGAATTCAACGCTAGTAACTTTGAAGTAGCAACGGTTCAGGTAGGAAGATAGATTGGTATGTGACGAGATGCACATAGAATGGAGGGCGGGTAAAACAACACAGCATCGATGCAACATTTGGCCCTGGCTGGGTGGCCCCGATGGGTGGTTGCTTCTGTTGGAGTGTTTGGTCATTCAGCCTTCGAAGACATCGTCGTCGAGCTCTCGGAGTACATCCTCCACAATCGCCAAGACATCTGCTGGTTGCAAAGGCTGAACTCTGGTAGGCTCCACTCTTTGGGAGGGAGAGCCTTGGCAGTATCCCGCCATCAGGAGGCTGACCAAGCTGTTGTTGGGACGCGGATACCCCTGAGGAAGAGAGGGCAAGCTGTCGCTGCTGTTACTGTTGCTGATGCAAGGGCTCATGGATAGTCGTTGTTCGGGCATGGTGTCTTTTCTTTCTTACTGAGTGCAAGCAAAAGGGATGGTGTGGTGTGAAGCAAAGTTTGATTTTTGTGAACTGAAAAATTGTGAGCTTTGAGATTGGAAAAAGTTGTGCTGCTAACAGAGACCAGAGACCAGAGACAGGCTCTACAATAGTACAGTATGGTAGTTTTGATATTTGCTAGAGTAGAAGCCCTCCCAGAAAAGGAGAAAGCAGGAACACGAACCCAAGAAAGAAATGGGGAGGTTTGATTGCTTCCTTCGACGTAGACGAAGAGGATGAAGCAAAAAGTCTTAGCTCCTGTGAGGCTCCTCTCAGGTGTCCGACGAAGATTGAGAAGTTTTTCGCACGAGCGGAACATGAGAAGGTAAGACCCAGAACGTGAACTTCTCTTGGCTCGATACTAATACTGCACACTACACTGCAAGGCATACCGTACTCACCGCAGCTGACTGGAAAAGTCTGCAAGGCTGCAAGGGTAGCAGGTGGAGGAAGAGGCACCCCTCGAAAAAGCAGCCAAAAAGCTCGGAGATAAGAGAAAATCAATTAAAAAAATATCTCCGGGATACCGTACAGTACCTGATCGTCACGCCGCTTCGTATGATACGTAAGAAAGAAATCTAAAGGCTTTGCGGAAAAGAAAACACCCTTGAAACAATTGAGCTACTAGTAGAATAGCTATACAATAATTGATATCGTCAGGCCTTTGCTTCTGGTTTTAATTCTCGAAGAACAAAGAGAAAGGCAAAATAAATAAATGTACAAATGTACAGGGGAGCTAGAGGGGACAAGGGACTTTCTTTTGCGATTAGGAAGTTCAATCCATGGAGCGAAGGGAGTGAAACAGTCTTGTCGACAAAGCGACGAACGAAGTGGGTCTGCGATGTCTGGGATGCTCTTCGGCCGCTCTGCGGTCTTTTTGCTCAGAAACGAGAAGTGCTGGAATGATTCGATGGCTGTTCGGCTTCTTTTCCGGCAAAAAGGACAAGACGCGATGTTGCCGATGCAATGGGCCCCTATTAGTAGAACATTGAAGGTTCGAACAAAATCTTGGAAGCAAGATGCTCGATTGTGATGACGAGTCCAGAGCCAGCCAGACAGTGGGGTCCCAGTACTCCAAGCACGACATCGAAGCCCAACTACGTCATCAGTGACGTAGCACTACTAACAGATCCTAGTCACAGCACAGCTTGGCAGCGAGGGCTTATTTTTGGCAACCATGCTGTGCTACGGTATCAGTGACGTAGCCCTACCGTACATGTACCATTCTATGTACGGGACCATACCCGTGTACGCTGGTACGTGTACTGCCTCTGTCCTCGCAGGATGCCTTTCGTTACTGCCAGTGTCCTCACAGCATGCCTTTTGTTATGGAATCCTGGTACCAGTATCATGCAGTGAGCGACCTTTGCTCAAGATCCAAAAGGCAGTTTTTCAGGTCAGTGTGCAGTCTGGCTACATGTAGTTAGCTGGACCGTCCGACGGTTTTCACTCAGGATTTAAAAAGCTTCCACGACTGACAAAAAACTTGACCAGCACAATTAAGGGATTGTTTCTTAAGGGATTGTTTAAGGGAGAGTCAAAGATTTAAGGGATTGTTGTTAAGGGATTGTTTATTTAAGGGATTGTTTAGGGGATAGTTGAAGAAATAGGGGATAGTTGTATGGTATTTCCATTTGGCGTTAAGGGATTGTTTAGGGGATAGTCCAAGATTTAAGGGATTGTTTTAAGGGATTGTTTCTTTAAGGGATTGTTTAAGGGATAGTTGATGAGTTAAGGGATTGTTTAAGGGATTGTTTTAAACGGTCAGTCAGTCGTGGCAATTTCAAGATTTTTTAAATCCTGTGTGAAAACCGTCGGACGGTCCTGGCTGGAGCAAAAAAGAGCAGGCTGCTGTGCGGTTGACCAGAAAAAGATAGCTTCCCGAAGATACGGTACATAAAGCTGTGCTAGCCATAGTCGTGCGAACCTGGAGCGTCATCAATTCTTCGGAATTACTTCTTCGTTTTGACTTGCATGTACCTCCTTCTTGATTCTCCATTGGCATCTGGCATCAGCAATTACTCCTAGCTAGCCACATTTTCAACACGAGTGCTAAGTCTTGGCTTCTGGTTGAGTCGGCTGTTGGTATCACGGTTCAGGTCAGCGTGTGGTTGTTTGCTGGTGGGGCTGTTACAGGAGATGCCACAGCAATTGGCATATCTCCTCAGGAGGAGGCAATATTGTGGTGCTATGATGGGTGATGGAAGCAACTTGATCATTATGGCTGGGTACTGGTACATGTACTTGCTTTTGGTTGAGAAGTGAGTAATTGTTGATTGGTAACGCGGTTCAGCGTCTGTTTGTTTGGTGCTACATGTACCGTGGGGCGTGGGGCGGTGGGGCCGGGTGTTCGCAAGCAGCCGGCGTCCGCTCCTTCTCGGAGCGAGAATGAGAGTATTGAAGTCAATAGCTCTAAGGGTTTAACTGGAGGTTAGAAACAATTATGAGCTATTGGCTTTGGTGGCTGTCCCCGTTGTCATTGGTAAATGACCGTTGGGGATCTGCCGGATCTATATCTATGTGACGGTCCCGCGAGCCGACCAGTCAGGCTGGTTGGCTTGGTGGGACGTGCTTCTGGTGGATATAAGGGTCAATGTCGCAGTGGTATTGGGACTTTAACACACCCTCGCACAAGGAGTACGGAGTTGTGTTGATGTTGTGGGCTTGTGAAGGCATTGTGGAGCTGTGTGTGGTGTCAGGCTCATACAGGTAGGTTGGTCGCATCCGTTGGTGATGCTTAGCTGGGTGGTGTTTGGAGGGGTAGTCTGCAAGGTTGAGGGAGCCTGGTTGCCAGTACACGGTGTACTGGTTCTGGTTGACGCGGTCTTGCAGCCAGTAGAAGCGCATATCTATGGCCTTGGAGCGTTTTTGCTTCACGGTGTCATTGATGATGCCTTCTGCGACTTTGTTGTCGATGCGCATAGGGGTGGCTGGTTGTGGGTGGCCTAGGTATTCGAGTGTGGTTCTGAGGGGGCATCCCTCTTGCCCGCATTCGAAGGCAGCTCCGGTTTCAGCTTCGGCTGCTGAGGAGACAACCATCTTGAGAATGGGGCTGATGACGAGGATTGGTCCGTTGTGAAGTGGTTGTTGTGGTGGAGTGGTGCTGTCACTGCAATAGAAGTAGCCCGCTGCTCGTGATCGTGCATTGGGTTCACTTAAGTAGGAGGCATCGCTGTCAATGCGTAAAACCATAGGGCTATGTTTGTAGCGGATGGTGGCATTGGGATGAGTGGCTGCGTAGTCAAGTAGTTTGTTGCAGGCTTTGAGGGTGTTGGTTGTTGGTGAAGATTGTGTAGTGGCGATGGCGCTGAGTGCTGTGAGCATTGTGTTGTCAATGGCCCGTGCGTAGAAGAGTAGTACACCGAGGATCTGTTGGGTTCGTTTGGTGGCCTTTTTGTCTAGCGGGGTGGAGGTATCCGTGTCGGCTGTCATTTGTACGCCATAGTGGAGAGGTTGGGACGTGTATGGGGAATGTTCCGGTTTGGTTGGTGTTGGATGGTTGAATCGTTGCAGGGCCTTATCGATGTAGCCCGGCATGGATAGGTCGCAAGTGCGATTGACATAGTCCCATTTCATGTGGATGCCACTGTAGAGGGCGCCTGTCCAGTCGGTAGTAATTGTGTATTGTTGTTTGAGCGCCGCCTCAAGATGGCGGGCATGTTCGTCGCCCACGTATTTGACACCGAAGTCATCGACGATGAGAACAAAGGCGATTGGTCTGGTTTCGTGTTTGAAGAGGGCTGGCACTCGTTTGGATTGGTGGTAGCCGTGTTTGGCGAGATGTGGGACGAGTCGGTCGTTGGCAACGCGTCCTGCTTGGGGTAGGCCGTACATGCCGCCGTCGATGGCCACGTAGCAGAATCCACGGTCATCGATGAGGTTGTTTTCGTGGAGTTGGTACTGTTGGATGATTTCTTCCGGAATGACGGACACATGGATTTTCATGTACTCCGTCCGTGGTAGGGGGTTGCGCAGGTAGTAATCTTTGATGTCCATGGTCATGAATTTGGCGTCTGGTGTACTGAGGACGCTGTTGATTAAGAGTTTGGTGGTGGTGAGATCTGCTGTTTTGGTTGTTGTTTCGAAGGGATAGTCGATCTTATCGCCGCCCACAGTGTGTCGGACACGGTAGGGGTCTTCCTTTTGGGGTCTGTAGGAGACGACGATGCGCATGTACGTGGGTATGCGCCCGGCGGGGAGGTCGTGTTTGGGGATGAACTTCATGGTGTTGGTGCCTTTGGTTTCCTTGTAGCCATTGAGTAGGCGTCCAAATTCTTTGCAGTTGCCCTGTTGCCACAAGTGTCCATCGCTGCTTTTCGAGAGTTCGCGGTATTCTGCAAGGAGGCCCGTGTCTGGGTTGAAGGCTTTGTTGGCAGTGTGGGTCGGTGGTTCGTGCGTAGGTTCGAGGTTGTGGAGGATCCATTTGATGGTATCGTCGGTGAGTGTATTGTCGTGTATGGTAGTGTTGGCTGTTGGTTTTGTTGGTGGATCTGGTGCTGGCACCCTCGGAATTGGAGTACTCGGAGCGTGGAGGCCATGGAGCTGTCGGAGTACGTCACGGTGGAGAGTCGGTGGTGGTTGTGTCGGATGGTGTTTTGGTGTGGTTAAGATTGTGTTGAGGTCCGTGATGGCGGCCAGAATTTGTTCGGCGTGTGTTGGTTCGGGGACTTGTAGGTGTAGGGGTGGGAACCATTCTACGCTGTCAGTGATGCGTGTTTTGTTGGTTTCCCAGATCCACGTGGTGTAGCATCGGTAGTGGTGCATTGCGGGTCCAACGTACCAGGCATCTTTTCCTTTTGGTGCCCAGGAGCCGCGTTTGCCGGATGGTTCGTGGCTGAGGACGCGCATGCCGAGTGGAGCGATGGGGGTTGCGTTGAAGTCGAATCGGCCGTGGAGTGCTTCATAGGCGGACAGTTTGGGGTTGCGTCGACATGGTCGAAGGAGATTGAGGGTCATCTCGGCCTGAGGTAGGAGCTCACACCAAAGGTTCATTGGGAAGTCTGGATCGGTAGTAGCGAGGACGGAGAGGAAGTGGTTCTTGAAGGTGCGGATGGCCCGTTCGGCAGCGTTGCGTCGATGGGTGTTGGGTGGTACTAGTTGTAGTCGTACGGTGTTGGTGGACAGAAAATTCTTCAGCGTGGAGGAGCATTCGTTGTCGAGCGTGTAGAGTTGGGGTTTGTGCCCACGGTGGACGAGCATATCGTGGATGTCCTTGTAGGCGGCGAGAATGGTGGGGCCCTTGCGGTTGGGTAGTGGCCGGACGATGATGTTGTTAGAGTCGTAATCGTACAGGAGGAAAATGTATTGGTGGCCTCGGTAAGATGGGACGGGGAAGCGGCCGGTTTGATCGCTGAAGATCTTACCATCGTCGGTGTTCCAGATTGCTGCATAGCATTGATGCGTCGGTTGTTGCAGAGGGATTTCATCATTGTCGATGCTTGGTTGAATTGGAGAGTTTGGTTGGTGGGTGTTTTCGATTTGCAGGAATGGAGATGTGGTGATTTTGGTTGGGTGGAGTGTTTGTTTTTTCGTTTGGTCGAGGTGGCCCTTGGCAGTTGCTACTGTCTTAGGCGTCCAACGCTTGAGTGTCGCGGCTGTCAGGCCTGGGAACCCATGCACGATCCTTTTTCAAGTGCTTGGAGGAGCGTTGTGGTGTTCGGAGAGCCAAGCGACGCATGTGCGAAGCGGACGAGCTGGATTCGTGTGTCGGTTGAGCTGTGATTTGCAGCATGTGGATGAGTGTCGGTACATGTGCTGGAGGAATCGTGGGAGGCGGCCAGGTCTGGTGGTGTTGTCTTTGGTTCTGGGATTGCCGCTGAGTGAGGGCATGGGAGCATGCCGGGAATGTTTTTCGGAGTTGTTGTTGTTGTGTTTGTTTGTGGGATTGCTTGGTGAGGGGAGGTGTCAGTCGGTAGTGCCACAATCCATTCGTGGTGCAATTGCGGTAGCCTTTGAGTATGGTTGTGTCAGTTGGGTTGTCTGTTATGGTGAGATCTGTGCTGGTGAATGTGGCGGTGCAGTCGGTATCACAAATTTGCCAATCGATATTAGATTGCTATCGAAGTTGGGGAACAGTTTGATTTTGGTTGCTGCTGGAGGTAGGTTGGCCATGGCCAGTTCGCGGTGTGTGTGTTGCGTTCGTATGTGTTGTTTGGCATCTTGACGGCGATCGGGTTGGGGTCCGGTTGCTTGTTGCGCATGGTGGTGTCTCTGGTGGTACCGTAGTGTTGGTCGGTGCCTGTGTCTGCTATGTTTGTGGTGAGGGGATCGGTATTCGTGTTGTTGGTCTGGTTACTGTCATTACTTTTACTAATTTTACGATTATTTTTTACCGACTCCTCTCCTTCTCAGGGAGTGAGCGTGCTGGTGCCACTGCCGGTGGTGCTGTCGGTAGTGGTCGTGTCTGTATCGTCAGTGGTGGCACTGTTGGCGGCGTTCTTGTCGCGGTTGTTGGGGCGACGGGTCCGTTGTTGTTGGGTTGGAACTTGAAGATGGCGGTTTCGCCGGGCTTGCGTTTGACTTGGCAGCGTCCGCCAAGCATGTTGAACTGTGTTGCCTTTTCGTCGTGGTCTTTGTGGCGGTTGCGACAAGTGAGACTGGTGTGGGTTAGGTCCCATTGGACTCGTGGGTCCAGCAGTAGGCCATGGTGTTGCCGGCCATGTCTTTGACAAAGTATGGGCTGCTGTTGGTGTTGGCATTGTTGGCTTGATGCTGGTCGTGGAAGCCTGCTTGTTTGGTTGTGATGGAGCGGAGGCGTTCGGTGTTGGCCTTGGCGAAGAATGTCTGTAAGTTGGTCCATGTTTGGTCGTCTTCGGCTTTGTTGCGCCATTCTTTGAGAGCTAACGTGAAAACGCCGCTGTTTTCCAAATTTTTAAGTGCAGAACGGATGGTGGCTCTTTCAGTGATGTTGTCATGGTCGCGTGCGAAGGAGCGGGCATCGTTGATCTGATGGAAGAGCTGTTCGATGGGCTGTGTTGGTGTCCATTTGGCATTCATGCGGTCGATGTTTTTGTCAAGGTCGTCATTGGTGAGGGTTCCATACTGTTCGTTGAGGTGGACAATGAGGTCATTGTAGCTGAGTGTGGAGTATCCTTCATCGGGGTCTTGGAGAGACTTGTAGTAGACTTCTTCGACGGCTTCCATGGTCTTGCGTAAGAGGGCCTTTTCGGTGGATTGGAAGAGCTGGAATTCGGTGAGGTCATACTTGTGTGCTGAGACCATGCGCGTGATTTGGGGTCCGGTGGCTCCATCGGGGACATCTGGGCGTGTTCCTGGATGGACTGGGTCGACCCATGGCGTTCCGGCTACTGCAGGCCTTGCATTGAACCTGTCTAGGGTGTAGCAGAGGCGTAAGTGTCCTTCGTTGCCATTGCCGCGGAGGCTATGGATCTGACGTGCATTGTCTTTGTTTTCTTTTTCTAGGCGTTTGATGCCTGTGCGGGTGGGGCGGCCAGTGATGCTGGTGAGTGTTGAGTGTATGAAGTCCTGCGTCGGATCATACTTGATGGTCGTCATGGTGGTAGTGTTGCGTGTGGCTGTTGGTGGTGGTTGATGTAGATCAGAGCTGGATTACCGGGCTTGGTCGGTAACCGGTGGTTGAGAATTGCTTTCTAACTATTGAAGTCAATAGCTCTAAGGGTTTAACTGGAGGTTAGAAACAATTATGAGCTATTGGCTTTGGTGGCTGTCCCCGTTGTCATTGGTAAATGACCGTTGGGTATCTCCCGGATCTACATCTATGTGACGGTCCCGCGAGCCGGCCAGTCAGGCTGGTTGGCTTGGTGGGACGTGCTTCTGGTGGATATAAGGGTCAATGTCGCAGTGGTATTGGGACTTTAACAGAGAGAACCAGGTGCCTTTTTAAAAGAGCTGCATTTCAGCGTTCGCTCGGACCATACCTCGTACTGGTACCAGATGGTACCGGTACCTGGTACCGTAAAACCGGTACTGGTATCCAGGCTGTGACTCCTGAAACAGATTCGATTCGATTCTCTTATGGATTCGATTGAATCGAATCATTCGATTCGATTCGATTCTTGGCATGGCGCTCGCAAAGACGCTTACTAGCTAGTACGGTCGTACGAGTGGTACTCCAGCCAACTAGACTACTCAAAGGGGTTTGAACAAGACTAAGTATTAGTAACTCCAACCAGCCAGCCAGTTCCATCTTGCCAAATTACATGTAGTCAGCCACCACCAGCCGAGAGTACACTACTAAATCTTCAATCTTTCGTGGACAAAAATGGATCTCGCTCTCAAGAAATTGCAGCTTGTCCGCACACGGGCATTGGCCGTTGGCTTGAATGCGAAACAGGGTTTTGTCAGGCTGGTCGAGCCTTGTAGTTTTCGGGATGAACAACCGAAGCAAGTCTAGCCAGTAGCAACCACTTGAATTCGTGAAGTCCACACCAACCCGCCAAGTTTGAGTTTGAGCAGGTCGCTCGTATCTTTTGAAACCATTCCAGATGCCAGGCCTACAGCGTGCTAGTTGCGTTTGCAACAAGTTCTATTGCTTGAACAAATTGAACCCACCGGTAACAGCAAGCTAATCAATCGGGGGCTTGAGCATTATTGACACCGTCCCGAATCCTGAAAGTTGTGCTGCTGATCATCGCACCGGGCTCATCATGAGTATATTGCAGTCTATACTAGGAATTGACAAGCAATCATGGAAAGCAAGAAAGGCATAGCATACGGTGACCATCGCCATGAATGGACCGCTCTAACTTCATTGCGTTCTCTACCGCTACTATTTTGTGGGTTCGCTCGCTGGTCTACGACTAGCTAGGTTTTCTGATGGCTTGGCTTCCTTCAAGTGCGAGTTAGTCAACTGCGGTACGGTCCTGTATTCACAAGCGAAGCAAACTTGGGGCTTGTAACGACTATGTTTCTCTGATTCGATTCCTTTGCTGCCTTGCCTTGCTAAAATACACTGGATCTTTTGGATTTATGCCCTCTGATACTGGGACCCAATAGCTGGCTGCACCAATCCTGCGGATTCGATTCTGGGACTGGCTGGCGCCAATAGATCTATCATACCGGTATCTTTGATCTATCAGACAGAACCGGTAAGTATGGTACGTACCGTACGTACCGTACGCAGGTACTAGTACAGTAACTGAGTACAGATTGAGTGGTGGCTGAAGGTCAGTGCAGGTTTGTCGTGCCGTGTTCATCAGTTTAGTTTTTTGGCTCGACTGTTAATCAAACAACTTCCCTTTGCCTAACTACTGTGGTCTAGCATTTCAGTTGGGCACCTTTAAGTTATTCAGTATACCGGTAGGCATCAACGATGGATCAGCCAGTCATCCGGGGGTCACCAGCCAGTAGCTAGCTAGCTAGTAAGAACTACATGTACTGTGCATTGTTTTTTGTTGAGACAAAGACAAAACCAAAACGTGGCGTCCTCTCCGCAATGATGTTCGAAGCGTCTTTGACACGAAGCCACCCCTGGTTGGCGTCCATCCTGCTACCACTCGCAATCATCTGCTATGTACTCCCCAAGATCAAGGCGTTTCGTCGCTTTCTTGTCTGGCTGATCAAGAACAGCGGCGTTAGGTTCACAAGAACGAGTACTACAACTGTTCTGGTTCACCCACGAAATGTGAAAGGGGAAAGTCGTTATGCCCTGACAGCCATGGACTGTCTCCAAGCCTCCATCCCTCCAATTGCCTTTGGCCTCTTTTATGACCAACCAATAGATGATTATCGGTTTCAAATTGCGTTGGAACAGACTCTCGATCATTTTCCCTTGTTGGCTGGTCGATTGATACGAAACTCAGAAAACCTTGACCAAGCACCAATGGTCGTGAGGGTAAATCCGTCGGAAGGGGGAGCTCATCTGGCAATTTCTCACACAACTCGACCCTACAGCCGCAAAGATGATCCGCGTTGGTTCCCGTCGTCAACTGGGGCCCCGTTTCCAGCACCTCATGAACCCTTTCTGGACTATGGACCCCTGTTGAAAATCAAGGTTACCCACGTCGAAAGCAACCACTCCGCTGTGGTTTCCTTTGGGTTCTGTCACGCGGTCATGGATGCCACCACGGTTGGCTCCTTTCTGGAGACACTGACGGCCCACTACAAACAATTCGGCGTGAACGATCCTGCCAAAGCATTGGCTCATCAGATGGTGCCCAGCATGAAGCTTGACCGCGTGCTTCCGCCACAAGAGGAGAATGCGGAGCCACTGGAGCGCTTCACAACGAGCAAACTGATCTGGTCCCTGCCCAAGCTCGTCATTGCCTCCACGTTGACCAAAACCATCAATCTGACAGTGGAGAAATCCGAATTGCAGCGCCTCAAGGGGGAATTTATGCAAGCTGCTAGTGGTAGCGACCTCCCATGGGTATCGACCTACGAAATGTTGGGCGTCTTGCTGCTACGAGCGTTTACTAGGGTATCCAAAAAGTTGGATGGGACACACCACTACAAGAACATTGAATGCCGCTGCGTCGTCGATCCTCGCACTCGCCAGGCCAATCCGCATGCTACCTTTACCCACCCGGGGAACGTTAGCGAAATGCCGAGTATCCAACTACCCTTGGAGCACCTACTCCATCCAGAGTGGCAATCTCGTGGTCTGCAAGAGTTTCATTCCCAGCTGCGAGCCTCGTTGGTGGACTCCTCCAAGATGACGGAGATTTATCGTCGTGCCAATGCCAGTTTACGGAACGGTGATCTTCATACGACGGGAGGAAGGACCATGAGCTCCTTGTTGTTTGCTCGAAACATTCTCGAAACCAATGTGACGTCCTACAATTCTTGGTTGCACATGGATTGGTTGGGCTCCATGACGACGTTTGGGGACGCTGCTCCCCATCATTTCCAAGTCACTCCCGGCATGTGTTGTGTGGACATGTTTTGGGTGTTTCCTCGTACCCCCACACAGGTGACAATTCGCACCACGTTGCCCCGAGGCAAGGGCAGACTGTTCCTCCAAGAGCTTACCCGCATGAACATTGCCTATCAAGTCCAGTAGATGGAATGAGTGACTGCATGAGGAATGGGTGTGTCGGTGAGTTATTGTGAATGTTGGCTCCGTGGAAGTCATGAAAGCAGAGATGCATTCGGTGTGTGAAGGCTGAACCGAATGGGTTAAAAAAAGAATCGCTGCTGGATGTACATGTACATGTACATGTAGGAGCCATTGTCAATAGTGCTAAAGTAGCTAATGCTTCTTATAGAGTTTACTGTATGCAATAGTGATACTGTATAAGGTACCGGTACCGGTATGCTATGAGACCAGGAAAAGCCAAAACAAAAGATGATCTGCAAAGGAATATGTTTGCAACGACCTTCGCCAGTGCGCTCGGTTACTGCAAGCCTTACGTGCTACAAGTGTCCTGAAGTATCACAGCTAGCTAGGCAGTCTTTCTGAAGACCAGCTAGCTAGAGTAAAGAAGTATCTATTTTTCATTTACAAAAACGACATGTTCATCCGCCACCTCTTTGAATCCGTCTCGATAGACACAGACCAACCATAGAGGGAGCTACAGCTACTTCAATAAAGAAACTTATCGAGACAAACGGTACTCTCTTGAATAGAATCTCCTCTAGGTTTTCATTTGCAGATTGATTGGTTGATAGAATCATTCAGTTCTACTAGTCTCAATGAATTGATTTGATTGTTGCCTTGCCTTGCCTTCATTCATATGTTGTTTAAAAGACAGGTCCAAATGGTAATTCATTTCCCGGTGTGACATCCCGTTTGTTTCCTTCGGCCGTGACGGTCATGGTCCGGACCATTCCACCGGAACTTCCATCACGGGCCATGGCATGGGAAATGGCTTTCTTGACGAGTGCTCGTGCTTCGTCTTGGGTCATGCCCTCTTTGAATTCGGAATCCATGAGACCGTAAATAAAGAGCGAACCACTGCCACCCAATGCAAAGCTTTGCTTCAGACACGAACCACCTTGAACGACATTGAAGACTTGTCCTCCTTCGACGGGATCCCAACCCGCAATAATGACACCGGCGCTCAGGGAATCCTTGTTGGAGTACACAATATTCTTCATCAAATGAGCGGCCGTCTTGACCAGTGGTTCGCGGCCTGTTTCGATGCTGCAAAATTCACACATACGTATAGGATGAGAAACACACAAACCAAACCATACAGTCACCTCACTTCCAAATACTAAAAAAACTCACGTCAAATGAGAGAGGTAATGCTTGACAATGTCACTAATCGCCTGTGTATCGGCCGCACTTCCGGAACGCAAGCAAAAGATGTGATCGCTCAAAAAGGTAATCTTGTCCGTCGATCGAGACGTGGCGTACGAGCCCATGGATGTGCGAGTATCGGCGCCCAACATGACGCCGCCGTCAAACGGCATGGCCAAAATGGTCGTTCCCGTAGACACTTCGCCTTCCTTGAGGCCGTACGGATTGGACGACATGGGATTTACCATGCTACTATGAGAAGCAGACATCATCGTGTTGGTGTTGATTGATTGAGTGTTTCGTTACAAGCGAGTGGCCAGAGGAGTAGAGCGGAGTGTTGTGTTGTGCGGTCCTTGGAGAGTTGGTTGTTGTCATGGCCGAAGGATTTTTTCGATCTTGAACGAAGCCGAAGGATTTCCCTAACCTTATCGTAGAACTCAAGTAGGGATTTTCCTAACCTTATTGCAGAGTGCCGTAAAGAAGACTAGTGTGCGTCTTGGTAAAGTTCCACGTTCAATAATGCTGCCCCGCAAACAGCACCCTGATTTCAAAGCAACCTCATCAAGGTGTCCCATGAGCTCGTGGTCAAGATCCACGCAGATGATCTTTGCACCAACCCATCATTTGAGATTCTGGTCACCATCTCCCCAAGAGCACCACCTCGTGCAGCCTCTTCTCCAGTGTCTGCTGTTGCTCCCCACTCGACCCCTGTTGTGACAGCCAAAATGGCTCTGCCGGTAGCAGCAGCAAGGCCAATCAGTGAAGAATCTCTCCGGAACTACCCTGATTTTGCTGTGCACGCTGTCCCCCTTCCAAAGTGACTGATGGGATTCTGCATCGGAGGATGGTGCAATCAGAGTTCTTCTCGTGTTTGGCTCCTGAACATAATGTCCTGGCTGGGTTTGTGGTTTGCCTCTTGTCTTCTCAAGACTGGGCTTGTGGCTTGGTGGATGCCTCGTGTCTCCTCAATACTCCACCATGAAATACTTCATCGTATGTGTTAGGTAATCTATCTAATTTTTTTGCTCCTTTTGTTTGTGAGGCCATGTGCCAAGGTAGACTTAGAGGCAGTCTTCGTTGGCCCCAGGGGCGCTCTAAGAGAGCGTCGAAGCTCGGCCTTTTTCAAAAGTCCAGTGCTCAGTAAGGACATGACTTTTTTGTGACTCCCGGAACTTGCTGCTGTCTCGCCTGCATCATTGGGCACTCTGATCTCTCAAGAACGTTTACACCTAGAGTACCGGAGGTCCACCTCAAGCCTGTGTTTGAAGTCAACGCTGGCGAAGCTAGTCCTCGAGCTCATTGCGGTCACGGTTGGCTTCGTCCCTCCACAAGGTCCCCGCAGCATCCAATGGTTCGAATGATTGGGCTACGATTGCAGCTTAGCTGGATTGTTTCACCTCGAGCCTGGGACCACCGGTGGAGCGGTGTTTTCAGACAAAGCTTACTCGCCAATGCATGGATCTACACCCACAGAGATGGACGACCTATCGGTAGCGACACACTAGCTAGCTAGCGAGGGTGTTTGATACGACAAGATTGCAGCATTTTCCAGAGTAGTTTGTTTGCTTAGCATTTGGTTTAGTCGACAAGTGGATTCTGTAACGTGAGCGTCACTATACAGCCCTTGCGTTGCTTGGCAAAATCGTACCAGTAGCCTATCAGGCCAACTCCCCCAATAGTTGCACCTTTCTAATGTTCTTCATTCATCGCCCCAGACTGCACCTCATGGTTCATCAATGGAGAGAGCAACTTCCCAAGTCATGAGTTCATCTATCCGATTGTCATGCGAAAAGCGGGTTATTGTTGATTCCGTGCTGCCGTTGCCGACAGCGCTGTACTTGCTGTAGGCTGAACAGTTTGTCAATGTACTGCAGCTGCTTGCTGTTGTGTGTCGACTGCTGATGGACTCGCCCAGTTCTTCGTCGGGTGCCGCAGCTGATGGTGGAGCAAATGTGGATTGTTGCTCTTGAATAGGAGCTCTTTCGTGGTTTTCCTCAGTTGCGATGACCTCGGGCACTGCATCATTTGCTGTCTCGGACGCAATTTCCCAAAAGAAGATTTTCTGACTCTGTGCTTGCACCATCTTCCGTTTCACCGCCTTTTTGGTGGTCCCCGTGCCTGTGCTAGCGCTGAGGATTGACATTTTGCGAGATGACATTTGAGAAAGCCTTCTATTGAGATAGTTTTCTTGTGAGGCATGCCTGCGAAGAAGCGCTGTGGGAAGCGGATCGTTGCAATGATTTGATTTGATCATTGTCAAAATTGTGACCAGGGTGTAGATGATGGATGAAACAGAGAGACGGAGCAGAGGGCGGTTGCATGGATTTGGGACCGGTGAGCGGGTACTTATCGAAGGCAAGATTCAAGCTATGGCGAATGGCGATTACCGGTGTCATAAACAGAATTTGACACCCTATTTACTGTATGTAGAACAGCCTCCAGCCAACAGTACCAGTTGAAATAGCTACCTGAGTGTAACTGTACTCGAGTATTATTTACTCTGAGCTCTGAGTTCTGCATTATTGTCCTTGTACTTGTACCGAAAGTCTCTGAGTACACTGTGTACGAACCTCGAAGCTGGAAGAAAGGATTTTAGATCTACGTAGATGCGGTAAAATCAATTTTCAAGAGAATGATAGATTAAACGATAACTTCACAAACAAGTTTACCACAGCTACCGACATGAGGGTGTTTTCCTGGTACCAGCAGAAATGAAGGATTCAGCGATGCAGCATGGTGGGACGGTGGGACGTGGGACAAGGCAATACTAGTGAAAATTTAAGCAGAGTCATCATACTGGCACTTTCGGCGGGCTTTGTTTTATTATCAGAGCACTCCTCTAAAAGGCTTTCTACGAGTAACTTCTCTTTTAAAAAGCTCTGAAAACACCTGGATACCGGCGAATTTGTGAGGGGTCGAATGCTTATCCATTGGCGGCGTCTACCAGTTGTCATTGTTCATTGTACTACTAGTAGAGTAATTCCACAGTAACTATCATTGTTGGTTTCAAGAGCTAAAATTCTTCCCCGTTTTTTACGAGATTGCTCCTTATTTGTGCCCTGCAATGCTCCTGGGTCTTGGTACTGTAAGCAACACTGACATCATGGTCAAACTTTTATACTTGCTCTTGCCCAGAAACCCAGAAAGAACCTCATTCAAATTGGGGAGGCTGGATCCGAACAACTGATTTCAGCTTTTGACCAAAGAAAGTCGTTTTGTTGCTCTCTTCTAGTGCCAAGTTCGTTGGTTGCAATCTTCATCACCCAGATTGTTTTTCGCAGCATAGATCGTGCCAGCCCAGACGTTTACGCGAATCCCAGATTGTCAGCAAGTGCACTGAACAAATGGTTTGGATCTCTCTGGGCTGTGAGGTGACTCCCACAGAGGTGCAATTTGTGGATGGATCCAATGCCCCGGAGCTTCCAGTTTTTGGACTCCCCAGCTTGCTGATAGGCTTCCCCACCCCTCAACACGAAATCCAAGCCAGTTTGTGCCAGAGAAGGACTTGGCGGTTTGAGTAGTGAGAGTCCAGTTGTTCGCTATTGGAGTCTGTGCTTACTCCATCCAGAGGCACTTTTGATAGAGACACTGCTAAGAGCATCCCACAGGAGTTGTCCCGTCCACCAGCAGAAAAGAAGTGGTACCGGTACAGTCAGGGATCACCGACAAAATTGCGAAGACTGTGGCTGTTGGTTGCTTCCCATTCTGCGACGGGATACAGCTTACAATTCAGCTTTACAGCTTTACAATTAGCAGGCTTATTCTAGAAAATAATCAATAACTGCTCACTTATTTGGAAATACAAACTTTACATCTCTTAGATCGTTAGATTAATCAATGCACAATGGTATTGTCGCATGGTAGCATGCGAGGTTATGAGATGTTACTCATTCTATTTCTTATATGTCTATCCCCTATGGTTGTCAATGGAATGTGCTACTCCTTGATGCAGATTGCTCCTGATGAGTTTCCTCTTGCATTCTTCATCGGTAGTCCTTCCCTTTATTGCAACTCACTTCCCTTGGATTCGCTCGAAAGCAATCCCCTTGTTCTTACTCCTATTGACGATCGTAATCTCAATGTGGACCATCCTGTCGTCAATCGAAATCGATGAGGATCCTTATATATGACTCCTATGGGAGTCCACCTTTCTTAATCCTATTGACGATCGTAATCTCAATGAGGATCCTATTATCTCGGTCACAGGAGCCACTACTGCTACTGCTACTACTGTTATCTCTATCACCGTCAAAGCCGTGCATCATCTCATCGGTCGCGATAACAGAGGTCGCGATCGAGTTAACAGAAAAGATCGCGATGATCGAGTTAACAAAATTGATCAAAAAATGCGCTCCGACTGCATATGGAAGGCTCGGCTTTGTGTGTCAGGCTTTGAGTCATGCTTCGAATGGCTATATTATCAGTTTGAATTGCCTGAATCATGCTTGCGTTATATCTTCGCAAACTCCTCACTTTTTCATTAACTCGAGTGTACGCAACAACAACAACAACACGATGCGATCGATCGCCCGTGTTGATGTTGATGTTTGATGTTGATCATTCGAACGAAGAAGAAAACTGGCTTGCAGTTGGTCGTTTGAACCGGCTTGCATGTTGTATTTCGAATCCTTCGAGTTTAACGACAAAAGACGGCAGATAACAGCACGGGCGATCGGGTACCTAGACTGGAATCGTTCGTTCGAACGAAGAACGAGACTGGCTTGCAGTTGGTCGTTTGAACTGGATTGCATGTCGGTTTCGCTTGGATAACAACTCGTCTACCGATTCCCCGAACTGTTGGAAAGTAGCTGGCTGCAGTTGGTCGTTTGAAACTGGATTGCATGTCGGTTTCGCTTGGATAACAACTCGTCGACCGATTCGCCGAACTGTTGGAAAGCTCATAAACTCCAGCTTCGATTGATCGATTGACTGGATTACATCCGCCACCGCGCTCTTGTTCACTCCTTCGCTTTTGTTGCCATTGCTCTGTTGCCATTGCCGCACTGTTGACCTTGTTGATTTTCACTGCCTCCAATTCCATCATCTATTATTGATGGACCTTGACGACGCTTCCTCTGCTCAGCATCTTCATCTTCAACAACAGCGGCACCAGCACCAGCATCCTTGTTCAGTCCACAAGGCTTCAGACAAGCCTTCTTTGAATCTGATCACAATCATCCACCATCTGATCCTCCAACCATGACTCAGCACCATTGACCGCAGTTCAATTCCAGGAGCTCCTCCAGCACATTGGGAAACCAAAAGAGAAGACCAAGCTTACAGAAGCCCCTCGGCTTGGAGGTATAAACCACATGGAGCCTGGACAGGATCTGGCTCAGATGGACTGGGAAAGGAACCTCAAAGCACCCTATGCCTCAGGGGTTTCCATGGTGACGACCATCTGAAACACACCACACTCCAGCCTATCGAATTGGCATGCAAAAAAAGGACTGAAGGATTCCACAGTCTACTATTTTCCACTCTGATGAGTCCAATGCTTCTGGGTCTCATGTGCTAGCCTCTCTTATCGCCTTGAAAGTATGATGAACAGAGCATGGAATGGAAGGGGTCTTCCAGCTTGTTGTTGGAGACCTTAATACTAACACTATTAATAAAATCAACATGTTCACTGTTCCTGGACAGGTCTCAGAGTCTATGATGGAAAAATGGCATCAGGACCTCACAGTCATGGGGTCAGACTCATTGATGCCATGGGGATCTGCAGAAACATCCTGTTTGCAAGTATGATCTAACAAACCTTGCCTGGTCGGGAAGGCTGTCTTGAACTCTTGCACTGATGCACTCCAGGAAGAATTGAATCATATGTTCCTCGAGCAAACACAATGGGCCCCAACTTCTCTTGGCTCTTCTGCAGAAAATATACAGACCTTCTCTCAGTAAGATTG